ACAAACATGCTAACAGTATGAACAAGCGTGCTAACAGTTCAGTACAGTCAGGGCCTTTTATGTACAAGATATATGCCAAAGGCTCGGTAGCTCCACACTGCTCCTGTGTGCTGAGTGGCTTGCTGGCCATGTTTGTTTTTTCTCAGTTCTGTCCTCACACTTCCTCACTGGGTGAGCATGCTGTTATCCACGAAAAGGAACACAAGGCCCGATGTATGAACCTGTCTTTATAATCAGAAAGCCCACCAGACTGGCCCCAGTCATACGGGTTGGAAGGTGTGTTTCCAGCCCTTACCTAGATACACAGCTTTTTTATTTTCATGAACCGTTTGGTTGTGAGGGAGTTTGAACTAAAAGACTGAACAAACTTCTGAAGAGAGTCCTTGCACATTATTGTGTGCCTAATGTTCCTGCCTGTGAGGTAGGTGTGGGATTGTGTGGCAATGGGCCTGCTGTAATTATGTGTCCATTAGTGGTCTCTGGAGATGTCTTTGACCTCTCTGGTGTCTCTGGAAACCCAGGAGTTGCTCAGGGCCCCTCTGTGGCTTCCATTTCTGCCTATTATCAAGAAGAGAGCATGATGTATGTGTTTGTGGTATGCAGAAAAGTCCGAGGTATGGTTTCACATTGGAGAGGCCAGGGTGTCAGGAGATCACTTATCACATCAAAGGTTGCTTGGAATGATTCAAGTTTAAATTAATATACATTATTATTTTTCTTTTTTCAAGTTCTGACAGTAGGCATTGAGGGTTGTTTTATTACCAAGAAATGAAAAATGACATTACATTACCGAGTACCATTCAGTGTTTTCATTATTTCTTGTGTAGCCGTTGGATTTTTCCAGTGTTAAAAGAAAATGAGCCAGGCGTTGGTGGCACACGCCTTTAATCCCAGCACTCAGGAGGCAGAGTCTCTCAGATCTCTGTGAGTTCCAGGCCAGCCTGGTCTACAGAGTGAGTTCCAGGCCAGCCTCCAAAACAATACAGAGAAACCCTGTCTCAAAAAAAAAAAAAAAAAAGGAGAAAAAGAGAATTATTTAATACTCATTTGTTTGTTTGTTTGCTTGTTTGTTTTATGTGTGCAAGTTAGGGAACCTGGGGGAGTGAGTTCTCTCCTTTCACCATGTGGCTTCCAGGTGCCCGGATTGAATTCTGGCCCTCAGGCTTGGCAGCAGGCGCCATTTACAAACTGTTTGCCTGGCCATCAGAGCTCCTTTGCATATGAGCTCAAAGAGAGTAAGACACTTGCCTAACGTTGCAGAGTGAGGCATACAAAAGGCATCTCTACAGAAGGGCATGGTTCCAATGGTTGGAGACTGCCGATAATTTGCTTCTCCACCAATTACATAGAGACCTGATTTTCTCATAGACTTTCTTCTGCTGGTATTATACCACTCCATCAACGAGTATGGTTTAAATCATTGTTAGACTCTAAATCATGGAGTTGCAGTAGCTAGTCCTTGAAAAGCTTACATTTGAGTATTAATATTGTTATAATTAGATTCACTTCTCTATCGGGAAGAATTGAATCAGTAAATATTTGTAACAATTGTTTATGATTCTTGCGTTGTACAGTTGTGATGTTATAACATTGAACATACAGTGATTTCACTGGCAATCAGTTTAGTTATTCTGTAAGACATAGTAGCTTGGGGCTAGTAGAAAGTTCAGAAGGAATTAATTTGAATATTCTATTAAGTAAATGAATGTTGAATTTGCATAATGATAATTTTCACTAATTGCAGTAAGGCATTGCTATTTGTTTAATTTATTTTTCAAAGTGTCTTTTCAAAATCTTTAAATAACCCTAGCTAGGTCTTATTTAGGCTAAATTTGCATGGAAATGTTCTAGAGAATGAGGCCAATGTAGAAATATTGGCTTGTGCATTTTCAAAACCGAACATCCCTAGACATGTAGACTATTATCTCTCTTTCCTCCTCCTCCAGCTAATTAGACATAATTACCTGTGGGGTTTATTTTTATGATGAAATTCATAACCTCTTTAAAATTTGGTTAGGTTCAGTGGCTCCTGGGGAGTAGGACTTGCCCTGTTTTTATCAGATATCTCTCCATTATATAATAGATTTTCTTGGGAATTTTATGCTTACTACTTTATTGGCAGGCATAACTAGTAGGAATGTAGACTATTATTAACATAGTTGATACACACCCTTCAAAATCTGAACAGGTCGTTGGCCTCTGTGCCTACCCTTGTCCACAGGTATCCCATCTCTTGGGAAAAAAGTTGGGTGCCTTTGGGATGTAGTATTTTTCTATGTGTAGTAAGTAGGTGCTGTGTCTAACAACACATGTTTAAATACAGCCTGCAGGTGTTGGTTTTGTTTGTGAAGGCCTTGGTGTTAGGGGTTTGTGCTGGGAGGAGTCACCTGGCTTTAGGGTCCAGCATACTTTGATGCTATCTGGGAGCAGTTGACACAGGGCAAGGTATATATAGTTCTCCCTAAGAATGGAGCAAGGCTGAGTTTGATCTCAGGACAGGGCATTCTGTGACTATATTGCCTAAATATGTAGATTATCCTTTAGCTTCTCTTTTCCTACTCATTTTTTAAAAGAAAAAATCATACTATTTACATCTTTGAAACGTGTGGGAATTGTTGGTTTCACACTGAGATCTCCACAAGCAATGCAGAGCTTTCCCATGTGCTCGCTTGTAAGACTTAACAGAAACTTAATTTGTGGTTCAGTAAACACAGATCCTCCCCACAGGTAGGAAATCATCCCACAGATCCCCACAACGCTTCCTCACCTCTGATATCATCACTCCTGGCCTAGGCCCGGTCTAGAGTCTGGAGTACAGTGGTCTGATGTGATGCCCGTCTCAGGTTTGCCTGGGTTTCCTGCTTGTGGCTCTTGTAAACCAGAATGGAATGGGCCCGTTGCTGACTCATAACTCAGTTAAGGCATGGAAAGATCCAGTTCTCACAGGGCTTGCTTTTGGCCACCACCTAATTCTGATTTTCCTTTCTTGTCCTTTTTCAAATTTCTGCAGATGTACTGGTGGAGGCTTGTGGTTGTAGCTTTGCTGTTTTGCTTTAACTCAAGAATGTATGTGACTTTTCTGGATCAGGAGGAGGGCAACAGCTAAGGTGGTGTCCTGAAAATGCTGTGACCCTGACCCGTCTCACCCTACTTCCCCACTCAGCTGAAGACAGGAGAGGGCAATGTGCCGCCTCCTCCATGCACACCCCTTTCAGAGGTTATATTGCGCCCCTGTGAAGCAGGGTACCTTGAGCAGGCTTGAGACTAACCAGGACCACTCGAGGGCTTGGGACATAGAGGCAAAGCTAGAAGATGGAATTACGGACTGACATAGCCCTGGTCTCATAGGGATCCTGGTTGTGGGGTTGAGGTAGTGAGCAAGGGATTTACTGGACTGAAGGAAAGTGAAGTGAATTTTTGTAATGAGGCCCTGGTGACCTTCAAAGTGAAGGATGGTTTTTCAGGTTCATAAGTAACATGGGCTATTTAATGACTAAACCTCGCTGGCATAAGTCATAGCCAGAATTTGTCTTTGGTCCTGTAATAGCCAGTGGGACCTGCATGGAATTTGGGTGATATGTTAAAGCATTCTGGGGTCCCCAGCTGCAAGGTAGAAGGAACCACAATATTATAGGATGTCTACATCAGAGGGCATTGGAAATTTCATCCCTGTCTTACACCTGACACTCAGCTAGGAACCCGAAAGATGGAGAGAATATGCATGGATCCTCCCACCTAGAGACTCCCAGCTTTGCAGGAGAAGGAGGCTAAAGGAGCAAGTGAATTATAGGTACACATTGTTTGTACAGGGTCACAAAGGGAAAGGGGAAAGTATCCATCCCTGGGGTTGTCAGTGCAGGAGAGGGTCTTGGGAATGGTCTCATAGAGGCTTGAGTTGAGGTGTAACAGATGAGGAGAAGGCTGAGAGGACAAGGCCAGAGCTTGCATATCAAGCAACGGGGGAGCCTGAATGAGTTTGCCACCGTGAAACAGCATGGCCTACACCAAAATTCCCAAGTGGTCATGGCATGGCTTGAGTGTAGAATGCATGAGAGAGCATTCAGAGAACGGTCCTGGAGAAACTGCTCACAAGGTCCTCACAAGGGCTGGCTGGGCCTTGCTAAAGCTTCCGTTGATGGACAATAGAATGAAATTTGCCCTGAGATAGCCCTGAGGTGTTGGGTGTGGGGTTTGTGGGAGGAACAGAAGCCAGCCAGAGGATGTCACCTGCAGGAGTCCTTCTGAGAGATAGCATACATAGTTAGACTGAAGAAGGTTCTAGAATTGTAGGAGAAGAAGGCAAAGCCCAGCAACTGACTGGAAATGAAGGGAAGATGTGGGTGGGTAATGAGTTTGTATAGGGCAAGAAGCGCTGTGTCTTTATTTTACATGACCCCAGCTGGTTCTGATCAAAGACTAGTGAGGTACCGCCCTTCCAAACAACCATGACAAAAATCCTTGTACCCCACAGACTTGCTTCTGAAATGTGTGTGCAGTGGTCAGCCACAGCCTTCCACCATGTGATAGGAAGTCCGTTTGGAATAAATTGCACAACCGGCTGGTGTGCTGATAGTTCTCTTGCAAGAGCCTGGTATGGTGGGAGTCGGTGTAGTTTTCCTCCTGAACAGTGCCTGGTAATTTCTCCCTAATGTCAGCTGGCACAAAGCCTCGTTATCTCCAGTGTGAACGTTAGAGCACTATTGCCTTCTAAGTTCGTGGTGGATATTGAATAAGGTCCAAGCCCCTTTAAAAAAAAAGTGACAAAAACAGCTAGTGAACGCCACTGATGTCTTGTCTCCCCTCAGAGGACATTGGAAACCAAACTCCTTTTCTCCTCTGTTGAGCCCCACCGACTGGGGAGCTGGAGGCCAGCGTGAAAGTGTACTGCGGAGTTACACAAAATGGAAGTTCTTGGAGGAGAATTCACATGAAATGCTTGGGGAAAAGGCATTTTATTACACCTGTCTGATGACCCTCCCCCCCCCCTCCTCTTGCTACAGGATGTCAGCTGCAACGAGATCACAGCCTTGCCCCAGCAGATCGGCCAGCTGAAGTCTCTACGAGAACTGAATGTCCGAAGAAATTACCTTAAGGTTTTACCACCAGGTATGAAAGTGTGGTAAGAGGAGAACGCGGGAGGGAGACATCATTCTTTCCGTTTACTCTTATGAGCGGTGGTGGGTCTTGTGTGGGTGCGCACCGGCTGCTGTTAATAACGTGAATCGCATTGGCAGATATCAGAACAGTGATGTTCAGGTTGTAGTTTGAATCAAGGTTATAGCAACACAACCGTTTGTTAGTGGGACGTATGTCAGCTTCCCAGGGCTGCTATGAAAAGGACCACAGAGAGGGGGGGCTTGAGTGACAGAGATGTGGCTCTTCACTGTCCTGGAGGCTGGAAGTATGAGATGAAGGTATTGGCTGGGTTGTTCCTTCCAGGGCCTTTTTCTGCGGCTCACAGATGGTTTTCTCCTTCCTGTGTCCTCACAGCATCTCATTATCCGTGTCTGTGCCCTGTTCTCCTTTTTTCTGTTACCCCAGAGGATTCAGGTCTACCCTGATGACCCCAGTGTGACTTAATTACCCCTTTAAAGGCCTTGTCTCCAATTACCATTAAATTCATGTATATTGGGGTTAGGATTTCTGTATCTGAATTTTGGGGTGAGGGACTTGGGCCAGAATGAATTCTTTGGGGCAGGTGTGTGATGTTCCAGAGTATGAAGTCAACAGTCTGGAGGGGACAAGCTTGGTCCTGCAGATCCTGGCTATCAGGGTCTCTAGCTTTGGGGAACACAGGTTGGGAACCCCACAGTGTCTGCACTCACTGTAGGTGAGGGTGATGCTTCTGCTGAGTTACTCTTGCACTGGGGTAACTCGTACCAGGACCAGCGATGGCCCTTAAACTTCGGCATAGACACTTGGTTCCCCTGACCCTGGTACACTCAGTCTTAGAACCCCCAGGCAGCCCTGCTGTGGACTCTTGCAGTATGTCCCTCTTGCCCAAGGCATGAGGCTTTAAACATAAAGACATGTTTCCTTAGAAGTTGTAAGTACTTAGGAGTATTGTGGGGATGACTTCGTGTGGAAAGTTCTTGTTCCGTAAGCATAGAAATAGGGCTAGCTCACTGACTCTCACAGAGAAGCCAGGTTTGAGTGTGGCTGAGCGCACCTGCAGGCCTAGCACGGAAGAGATGTGGAGGTAAATGGATCCCTGGAGCTCACTTGCCAGCCAGCCTGGCCAAATCAGTGGGCTGCAGATTCAGTGAGAGACTGGCCTTGTTACATTAACTGTCAGCATGATGTAACCCAGCATTACCTGTAAAGAGTCTCAGGCATCTTTAGCAGGTTGGTTTGTGGCTTTTATATAAGGGGTTGTCTTGATTGCCAATTGATACAGGAGGGTCCATCTCCTTGTGGGCGGAAGCATCCCTAGGCAGGTGGTCCTGGGCTGTGTAAGAAAGGCAGCTAAAGGCAGAGAGGAAAAGAGCAAGCAGCGTTCCTCCATGGTTTCCGTTTCAAGTCTCTGCTTCAGTTCTTAGTCTGACCTCCGTTAACAGTGGACTGTGCCCTGTAAGATGCAAGTCCTCTCCTCCCCTAAATTGCTCTTCACCGGAGTGTGTTACCACAGCCACAGAAGGGAGACTAGAGCATAGGATAGACCCCTGTCCTGTCTCAAATAGTAAAACAAAAGAGAACAAAGGCGAGAGTCATAAAGACACCTGATAGCAAACTCTGCCTTCCACGTGTACATACATGACACGGACAGCATGCATGCATGCGTGCGTGCACACACACACACACACACACACACACACACACACACACAAACTTTAGTTTCATTTCTGTTCCAGTGATAAAATGCCCTGATTTAAAAAAAAAAAAAAACAACTCAAGGAAAAGCAGTTGTTTTAGCTCTTGGTTCCAGGCTCCAGGCCATCATGTGAGGAGATCCCATGGGAAGGGCTTGAGGAAGTTGGTCACGTTGGCAGTCAGTCCAGAGAGAGTGCGTTATGCCTGCTTGCTTGCCTCTCCTGAGCTCATGGCTCCACTCGTGCATAGCTCAGGGACTGTCTCATAGTGAATGGTGCTGCTCACAGTGGGCCGGACCTTCCCACATTAACTGACGTAGGCCGTGATTTTAGGATTTGTGTGTGCTGTTGTAATTGCTGCAGAGTCACATGTTAAGTTGCCCTGCTGTGTATCCACAAGTCATTGTTTCCTTGTAGTCATCACTGTCTCGGGGATTCCCCTCTTCTCACCCTCCCCTCCTCAATGATCCGCAAACTGTGGGAGGAGAAAGTGGAGTATTTCTGTTCCATTTGGGGCTGACTCTCTTACTCCCTTCACCTTGGCCATTTGTAAGTCATCTACTACGTCTCAGATGAGGGTGTAACAGTAAGTCATTATTAGGAGTCAGTTTAATACAATGCCAACTTTTAGCAGAATAATAATAGTAGTTTCTACCCCAGGGCCCATTACCTGTCCAGCCATAGGTTCTTGGCCCTGTCTTTAATGGTGCTAGATATGGGTTTCATCTGTAGGGTGAACTTAAACCCAATCAGAAGGTGATGTCTGAGCCACCAGTGGCCCTCTGTGCTAGTCCAGTCCAGTCATTACTGTAACTCCCAGGGTTCTAAGCTGGGTAAGATGTTGAAGATTACTTTTTTGCTCTGGTAGCATTTCAGGTTGGGTAGTAGGGATGACGCTTCCAGGTCAAGACCAGCTTGGTTTTGCTATGTTCTACAGTTTAAGTACGTTGCCATATTATAGGTCCTAAGGTAACACCAGTTTAACTGCTTTATGTACGTGCATAGATTTCATTTAGGAAGCTTCTACAGTACCAAATTTCTATGACTTTTTGGAAGGCATCTCAGTGCAAGCATGCACGCTTGGAGGCAGCTGGCATTCAATTCGTTTGGGATTTATTAGTGTGGCGTTTTGAAAGCTGCCTAATTTTTGCCATCCTGTTACTGTCCTCTTGTTCATGACATGAAACAGCTTCTGAAACAGTGTGGTAGGTCTCTGTACAGTACACTGTGCTCTATGGTAGAGAGCTCGGGTTTTTTCCCCCTTGCTCATGCTGGCTTGCATTTGAAGAAGAATTAGAAACTACTCTGTAGGATTCATAGCCTTATCTGAGATGAGCTCATAGAAGGAGATTTACTTTTCCCCTGGCTCCTGTGCAGTCTCATTTCTTTGGGTGTGTAAAACTATTTTCCCTAATAATAATAACTATAAATAATAACAGTAACTACAAACAAAATTGTAATTCATAGCACATCTGCACAGTACAACCTTTCAGGCTCGTTATTAAGAAGCCCCTCTACAGTGAAGTGCCTATGATAATCATTATGGAAATGTCACAAATAATTGAGCCCATTTCCAGAAGGGAAAGCCAGTTACATCATTGTGTGGCCATAGTGCGGCACAGGGGAGCGACCACACCTGCTGGGCCTAGGCTTATATTTCTCTCTCCGCTTTCTCTCCTACCTTATGAACATTCTTTTCTCGAAAACAAAAGAAAAGTTACAACCTGCACTGCCTTCCAAAATTATGTTTTCTCAGCTTTGATATCTTAGAACACACCCAAAGCTAAAACTTCAGTTTACGGGAGCGTCCTTTTTAAAAAGAAAAAAAAATCTGAATATCAGGTTTCTTTGTGCCTAGGCCTAGAGAGCTCTGTGGACAAGAGCATTGATGCCACCAGGCGGCCCACCAGTGACCTTCCGTGCTTGCTGACATTTGTTCTCCTGGGGCATCTCTCCTCATATGTTTTCAGTTTAAGGAGGGGAAAAAATAGAAGTTTGCAGCCCACTTTCCCCGATCAGTTTTGTGTGGTGTTACAACTGATGTAATGGGGAGGCCATGCTTCCTTCTTTTAGGACAGGATGGAAGGGACTAAAGGAGTTACTCATTGCCTGTCTTTGAATGGAGAGAGAAATGCAGCGTTCTCCTCCTGTTCCAACTCCTGCTTCTTTCTCTTCCCCTTCCTCTTCCTCCTCTAAATGGTCTTTCTCCTGCTTCTGCTCTATTCTTCCTCTTCTTCTCCTTCTGTTTCTCTTCCTTTTCCTTTCCTCTCTTCCTTTTCTTTCTCCTCCTGCTTGCCTCCCTCTTCCTGTTTTGCTGCTTCTCCACGTCCTCCTTTCCCCCTTCTTGGCTTCCTTCCTTCCTTTATCTAGTCTGACTCGACTTTTCCGGATCCGCCTTGCCAGACTGTCATTTCCTCCCAGCATGACTGCTGTGAGATGGTGGAGTTCTCATTCCCCTACACCCCTGTACGTTGGAACCATGGACAAGGCAGTGGTGGTTGGGAAAGCATCCTTACCTAGTTCACCTGAGAGTTCTCCACTCCCCTGATTACTCCTCCACTCATGCATCATAGTCTTCATTGCAACTGACAAACAATTGCTGGGAACACTTGCTACATAACAGCTATTGTCTAAAAAGCCCCCCCTCCTTTTCCCCCTAACACAGGAATCATAAAAACCATGTCTCCCAGAACAAGGAGTCCCATTAAATTTTGGCACTGGTGAGATAGTTACAGCTTAACTCTAAAATCACCCTGTCCGAGAAACCCTAATCCTTAGCTGACCTACAAACTGTAACATGAAGGCATCTTTCTAGCTTGTCAGTTTGCTTCTTTTTGGTCAAGTTGACACAGGCTAGGGTGCCTCTGGGAAGAGAACCTCAGTTGAGAAAATACCTTCATATGAGTAGCTTGTGGGCAAGTCTGTGGGTGAATTTTCTTGACTGGGGGACTCCAGCCCACTGTGGGTATTACCACCCCTTGGCAGGTAGTCTTGGGTTCTAGAAGGAAGCAGGTGGGACAAGCCTTGAGGAGCAAAGCAGTAAGCAGCACTCCCCCTATGGTGTCTGCGTCAGCTCCTGCCTCCGGGTTCCTGCGCTGTGCTCCTTCATGATGGGCTAGAAGCTGAAATAAGCCCTTGCCCCACAAGGTTGGTTTTGGCCATGGTGTTTATCATAGCAATAGAGACACCAAGGCAGGATCCCATTTCTCCTTTCCTTCCACTCTCATGCTTCCAACACCACAACGTAGCTCTGCCTGTAACTCCTCCCCGTGCCACATCAAAACAACCCTGAGGAGATGGACCTGAGACACGTGTCTTCCCCCACCGGGGATTTGAGCTGCTCTGGGCAGTGAGGACATACAGATTCCTTGGTATGTGTTTTGAAATACAGTCCTGAGTCTGCCATATAGAGCCTGCTTGGACTTCGAGACCTGGGAGTTGGGTGTTCATCTTCCTTCTAGAATTTCGGTCTCATTACTCTGTTCTGGAAGACCAAGTAAGGCACTGAGGTAGGGAAGGCGGAAAGCCCCTGACATTCCCAGGGCCCTGACTTCTGAGAAGAGGCAGCTCTGGCTCCCAGGGAGTGGCGTTGGGGGGCCTAAAGCAATACTGAGAGTTTGATTGACAGTCTCAGCCATGTAGTGGGAGAGGAGGGATTGCTGAGTCTTCCTTTAGGCCACACCCTCCCCTTCAGCTTCTCCCCCTTTGTCTTTGAAACCACTGTGTTTAGCCTCTTATAACTCGCATACCCAAAGTGCTGGTCACTGTTTGGAAGTAACCCCACTGTAGCCACCACCCAGCCAGCTCTGAGATCTGCCGGCGTCACCCTAGGTTCTGGCTCGGCTCAGCCTCGCTTTGCTGTATGGGGATTTTTTTGACTTCATTCCTGGCAGCTGCCAGTGTTGGTTGGAATGCTTGAGATTACTGAGTTTACTGTGCCACTGGGTGGGAACCTCGGACTAAATGCGGCGTCTTCTCCTGTGAGCTACACTGTGGACGACTTCAAAGGCAACAGAATGAAGCCCAGCCATATCAGAATTCTGGGGCCTCTTGGAAAATCCTGAATTAGATAACACTAGGAAAACAAGCAAACACAAATCAAAGCAAACCAACAAAAAAACCTCTGAGAAAATCAGGAACATAGTTACTGAAACTTTCTGGCCCGGTGCCCACTAAGCAACAGTGACTAGGTAAGAATTTTCTGTAGTTAGCATATCATTCATTGTCAGCAAGTGCTTTGGGAAGATGGGCTATAGTAGGACAGACATCGTCTGTGTGACGTGGTTCTTGCAGTTCCTTTGCTGGAAGAAAATTGGCTCTTTAGACAATATGTGTGTCAAGTGTTCCCAGTACAGTTTGTGATGATGGAGCACTTAGGGAAAGATTCCCCTCACTCAGGGAAATATATATGCATGCCATGTATTCCAAACATTAGCACCGCCTACTTTTTGCTAAACCGCTCATCTCCAGATATGCAGAAAGTTAATTTTCGAGTGTGTAGCCACTTGACCCTGCTGTGTTCTGAGTGTCTTTCTTTATTATTGTTTCCTTTTCTCTGTTGTTTCAGAACTAGTAGATCTCCCCTTGGTAAAATTCGACTTTTCCTGCAACAAAGTTCTGGTGATCCCCATCTGCTTCAGAGAGATGAAGCAGCTTCAAGTGCTCCTTCTGGAGAATAACCCTCTGCAGTCCCCTCCGGCTCAGGTGAGGACTGACCCAGAGCCTCGGCCAGGTCTGTGCAGAGCGGCACAAGTGACTGGCCACAGAGCCCCTGTGACTCTCCACAGACCCCAAACCGCACCAGGCAGGATGAGAAGCAGCCCGCGTCCCCCACAGGAAACTTTAACTAAATCTGGCTACTAAGTTACTTCAGGCTGCCTCACATCTGTGCCCACATCTGTAGGCACTGCTTTGAACGATCCAAGGCTAGAATTACACTTTTGATAATGTACTACTCAGTCACACATTTGAAGCTTTTCATAGGGTATATGGACTACAAAGGGGGTAATATGTTACTTATTAGAATGTTAGCAGGGTAAATGGAATTTACATATCTTAAATATGATTGTTGATTTTTATTGAGACAGGGATCAAGCTCAACATAAAACTGAGAACACGAGACACACACACACACACATATATATGTATGTATATACTTCTGTGTACAAATGAAATTATTTTATAGTTTACTTTCTTTTTCAATAGTGTAACGACTTATTAAATCTATGGTTATCTTTTTAACTCTTAGTTGCTCTCTTTGGACGTGAAAATACATTTTTTGTTTCCTCTTGTAGTTTGACTATTACCAATATTGTCTGAGATTTATAAACTTTACACTATTGTCTTTCAAATATGTTTTTGTTCAAATTTAGCAGTTTCCAAAGCTTAGCGATTTCTTGAGCTTGATTTTCTGTTTTAAGTAGAATTTGGAGGGAACAGTCCTGAGGATTCTTGTGTGTTTAGTGTCCCTTGTTAGGTGGTTACTCACCATGACATTCTGAAGATTAAATTACACGATCAGGGACCTGGGACTTACATTTTGTTTTGTCACTGAGAACTGAATCTGCGTTGCTGATTTCTCTGTAGATTTGTACAAAAGGCAAAGTGCACATATTTAAGTACCTGAGCATACAAGCGTGCCAGATTAAGACGACTGACCCCCTGTACCTCCACACCATGGAGAGGCCTCATTTGCACCAGCATGTAGAAGACAGGTGAGTTAATGCTTTCCTTCCTGAGAGAGCCTGCTGAGAATGTGCTTAATGTACCTCCACACCATGGAGAGGCCTCATTTGCACCAGCATGTAGAAGACAGGTGAGTTAATGCTTTCCTTCCTGAGAGAGCCTGCTGAGAATGTGCTTAGTCACAGATGCCCAGGAATCCGGGAGCCAGAATCCATATGCTTCACTTGTATGATTCACATTTATGACTTAGAGCTTGAGATGATAATAATGGTATACAAAAAAAATGATGCTAGAGAGAATCTCTAATATCTCTAATCTAACTCATCCGTAATCAGTTCTTCCTAAATACATGTGTGGATGCTCATAACCAAGATCTAGAATGGATTTTTATGTGTATAGATAGCATAGCTATATTAAACTCTATTGTAAAACATTACATTTCTAAAAATGGGTGCTGCTAAGCTGGGCGTGGTGGCATACACCTGTAATCCCAGTAATTAGGAGACCGAGGTAAGAGGATTGCGAATTTTAGATCAGTCTGAGCTGTATGTTTGCAAGTATAGCAAGATCCTGTCTCAAACCTGCTGTTCTTGATTTTAATGACTGTATCCAGCTGAAAGGTTTTTGGAATTACCGAATTTTAACACCATTAAGACCTGCGGGCTTCAGTTTTTAAAGTACAGTGTAAATAATTTTTTCCTATTTCTTGTTTCATATGGAAGTCTTAGCATCCTCCCAAGCATCCTTGGGCCGTTTGTGTTATAAAACAGGCCATGAGCATCAAGAGACTAGGATTGCCTCAGTAACACTAAAAGAACAGATTCTCCTGGAGACTTCTCCAGGGCAGAGATCTTTTGCTTTGCTTTTTGCTAAATAGGGTGACTTGAAATCTTACACCACTCTAATGGCATTTTCAAAATAATGCTCTAAGTATATATTGATTATTTTGCATTTATATTACCAGGTATAATTAATCACAGGAAAGGTTTTCAAAATGATTGAAAATATTTTATTACCTATGAGATAAAATAATTATATATCTTGCTAATTTTTATATATAGCAATAAAATAAAAGTGGTAACTGTTTCAAGGAAGTAAGTTGCCCCTCAGAGGAAGAAGCCCAGAGCACAGAGAATTTATGATGTCCTTAGTACGTGTGTACAGTTCTCATTATGCCTTTGTTGCCACATAATAATAATGATAAATTGTATATGATGAAGTCATTACATTATTAATCGGTGTATCTTAGTGTCAACTTTGTGATATTTAATTTTTTTCTCAAACAAATTCAATGATGGTGACATCTACCCAGTAAGAAGGATTCTGATTCGGGAGTTGGAAGTGACAATGGAGATAAGCGGTTATCTGCCACCGAGGTAAGTCTGGTGACCACTTTATTGTCATTTGTCCTGGGCCCATCCCTCTGTGTCCACTAAAGTCTTGTTTTGGAAGAAGACACTGGTATGCTTGCATGATTGTGATTGACAGTTCAATCACATCTGTGAACGCAGCTTGCAACCCCTAAGGGTCATGTATATATTAGCTGCTGTCACTCTGCATAGCTTTTTCTTTCGGAAATAACTCAAAAGTAGAGTCCCTGTCTTTTTCTTTTCCCACTCCCACATTATCTAGGATATTCTTCAATACTAAGTAAATATAATGAAAGGGCCAAGTCCTGTGCAAGTATGAAGCACTTTATAAATAAAACCTGTCTTCAACAGTACCTTAGAGAATCGTGCTTATTCGGAAGTGTTAAGGAATCAAATGTGCACTGTTTGAGTAGCTTATGCACAGAAATATTTGCAGCTAGCCATTGTGGTTTTAAAATGGCTAAGTTGATGTGTACATGTATGTTCAGAGGATGCATCTGTGTCCCAATATGTGTGGAGGCTAGAAGGCAATTCTTTCCCTCCTCCATGTGGGTTCCAGGACTGAATTCAGGCAGGTCTTCAGACTCCGCACCAAGCACCCTTACCTGCTGAGTCCTCTCACTGACCTTTACCTACTGTTTTTAAAACGTTATTTGTATTTCTGACACTTGAGCTGTATTCTGTTTAGAAAATTAAATTTATTTGAAAACTCAACCAAATCAGTCTGGCGTGATCATGCTTCTATAGTGATAGAGCAAACCATTTGTTTCTTTTGTTTGTTTCTTGAGACAGGGTCTCTCTGTGTAGCCCTAACTGTCCCAGAGCTCACTCTGTAGACCAGGCTAACCTTGAGCCATCGATTCACCTGCCTTTGTCTCCTGAGTGCTGGATTAAAGGTGTAGACCACACCACCCAGCCACCATTCACACCTTTATTGCCTCGTGGATGGTCTGTTAGATCCTACGGGGTATCCTTGAGTTTGCAATGATTATCAGGTCAATTACTTCATCTAAAGAAATCACATTTTCATTGAATGCGATTTCAGGATTTTTTTTCTTCTCTTCTGGTTTTGAGCTTTATTAAGCAGAAAAGTTTATTTTCCTCAGAAGGTAAGGTGTGCTATAAAGGTGCTATATATAAAGCAGCCTAAAAACTGGTGACTAGAGAGATGGATTGGTTAGTCTTGTAAAATGCTAGCTGTGAAGCATGAGGACTGGAGTTCAATCCCCAGAGCCTCTATAAAAGCCAGGCTCAGAAGCACAAGCCAGCAATCTCACCGTGAGGAAGAGAGAGACCAGAGGAGCCCCGGAGCTATAGCCCAGCCAGCCCAGCTAAATAGTGGGCTCCAGGTTCAGTGAGGGGACCCTGTCTCAGGAAGAATGTGGAGAGCGAGGAAGGGAGATTGCCAGCATCGACCTCTGGTCTCCAGATACTTCACACAGAGGACCATGCACATGCATGTATGTGCGCACGCACGCACGCACGCACGCACGCACGCACGCACGCACGCTCTCTCTCTCTCTCTCTCTCTCTCTCTCTCTCTCTCTCTCTCTCTCTCTCTCTCTCTCTCTCTCTCTCTCTCTCTCCCCCTCCCTCTCTCTCAAATTCGACAGCATTTTTCTGATGAAGAAGTTTTTTAAAAAACATTTTGAAGAAGAGTTAGTAGGAAGAAAAAGGCGTCCAGTGTCAGTGTAAGAAAACGACCCCCATGAAGCCACATTGACAGCTGGCTGTGGCTCCGGGGGGTGGGGTGGGAGTGCTGAACACATTGCTTTCTGTGTTGCAGTCTGTTTAACCTCTTGGACTTCATGAAAACTCATAAGTCCCCTCACATGGACCATTGTTGCAGAAACTACCCACCCTGGACTTAGTTTCCATGAAATTAAAACAAGCTCTCCTTTATTTCTCTCATAAGAGTAATTAAGTTCATTAATAAAACACCACACAAAGAGCTTCATTATCCTTCTCCACTTGCAAGTAGGATGCTAATAGCATTCTGAAGGGAGCCCAAGGATTTACTCTCCCCCTTTAATTAGAATGCATATCTTTGGACTTCTGCTAGCTCTAAGGGTAGGAGGTGGATGGGAGGGAAAGAGGACTGCAGGAATGACTATAATTCAGTAGGATGCAGTTCATGAGTCTCTCCTTTGCCTTTCTCTGAGCCTCATTGTCTAAGCACACCTCAAAAATACTTTTTTTTTAGAGTGATAAGGTTTTTGATAATACCGCATGGTGTGTTATTTGTAAATGTTTTGGTCACCATCACTCCCGCACATAAACCTCATTGTCGGAGTCAGCAGTCACACCTGTACCTTTTCTCTGATGGTTGTCATTGCCTGATTGATTTCACATTGAAACAGTAAATGCATATTTCCCCAAGATAATTAAGCAAGAACTTGTAGGGATCTGTGAATCTTGGTTTGCTGAGTGAAATCCATGCTTGCCTTCTGCCCATTTCTAAACAGTCTGTGCATGTGTCCAAGAGTCTTGAAGAGAGCTACAAAACTTGAGGAACCAGCCACATACCAATATGCTCTGGGGAGGTCCTGCTCCTTGTGACTTTGATGCTTGTCACCTGTCGCTAAACAGCAACACCAAAACAGAGATGGGAAAATAAATGATGATCTATACCTTAATGTGTGAACCACAAATTTTTTTGAAAAACATTGTCAGCGAGTGTGGTAAAGGAGACACCGGAGACAATTAACTTCCGTTACTTCATAAAACTTTTTGCTCTGAGAGTTGCAAAGAACATCTGCTCCTTATATATAATATCCAGCAGACCTGTCATCTGCCTGGTGCTGCTTCTGCAAAACCACAGTGTAGTTTTGGTCAGTCAGCCTTTTATCAGACCTCAAGGTGCCTCTCTTGGTAAGAGTATGGCTTAGGGCTTAGTTTGTCTGCAAACACTGCAGTTATATTGGGTCCTTTAGTGCCTGTGGCTGTAAGCTCAGAATGGGAGGAACCCGAAGAGACTTCAGGCCAAAAAGCATGTGTGTGCCCGAAGTGACTTCAGGCCAAAGCATGTGTGTACCCGAGGTGACTTCAGGCCAAAGCATGTGTGCAGAGGTGTGTACACAGTGTTAGCATTGTACCTCTGTACTCACAGCCAGCTCTCATTCATAAAGTGGCGCTCACTGGCTGTCCTGAAAGTCTCACTCACATGAATAGCCACTCTCCTGAGTTCAGACAGCACCATCAGGTTGCTATTTCTGAGTTTGTATAGGTAGATTTTTATCTCTGTCTTCTACTTAATATACTGTTTGTTAGGGTCAGGGTGCTGCTTTCTTACAGAGTTCTTTTTATGTGCATCGACAACACTGCTTCCTTGAATGACATGATTCCCTGGTTTTTTTTTTTTTTTTTTTTTTTTTAGCCTTCCGATGAGGACACAGTTAGCCTCAATGTTCCCATGTCAAACATCATGGAGGAAGACCAGGCCATCAAGGAGGATGCCTGCCATCATCTGACCCCAGCCAAAGGTCTGAGAGAGATGGGTATAGAGAGCGCTTGCTTTGTAGGTTTGGACACAGGGTTTACAGCACCACTTATGGATGCGGAGATGATGAGTTTACTCTTTATATCGCACATACTGTGAGACAGCACAGGGACGGGTTTCATTTCAAGTCCCAAACTCTAGATAGCTCTTCTATCTAGTCTACTGCTGGGGAGACCAAGGCTCAGAGAGTTTATATGGCTTACCTGTGGTTTCACAAGCCAGCTCTGCTCCTCACAGCTAGTAGTAGAGCCCTCATCCTGAAGATTATAGGAGAGTCTTTAAATTCATTTTTGAAAAGAAAATATTGATATGATAGATAGGACTTAGGATAACTCTAGCTGCTGCCATAAAATATCCAGATCTTAGTGATAGTCCAAATAGAAGCTGGCAGACAACTGCCCTCCAAGCATTGATTGGCAGACCAAGGCTCCATTCATCACCTTTAGCATGGACTCCCAGAATCTCCATATCCATGTGTGTTAAGCTAGAAAGGCAGAACATGGAGGTTCTTGGGGATGGGAGGTTGTGGGCTGGGCCTTGCAGTGTCCATCATTTATAAGACATATTTCTTTCCATGGTCTCATCTAATACACTTGAGGGTGGAAAATGCACTTGAGGTATGGGTGTGAGGAATCTGTTGGACTGTAACCAACTCAGTTTGTCTCATCTGTCCCCAGGAATGACAGTTAGACTAGGTCTAACTTCTTTGTAACTCATGTTCTTTAACTTTTTGATAACCATCAAGTGATCACTGAACACTGTAGCTTGAATGCCTCCTTAATCCTTGTAAGAGGCATATTGTCATATATCATCGTGACAGTATTTTAATGGCACTTGTTTGCTCAATGACGTTAAAAGAAAATATTGAAATTTACTGTTCATGATTTGTGATAGAGACTGGAGAATGATGTACGGGAAGTGTAGATCTGTATCAATGATAGGTCAGATCCTAGCATGCTTACTTTCTTTAAATTTTTTGTTAGATTTATTCATTTTATTTTATGTGTGTACATGTTTTGCTTACATGTATGTCAGCACACCATGTGCGGGCCTAATACCTGCAAGGTCAGAAGATGCCATTGGTTCTCCCACGACTGGAGTTACAGATAGTTGTGAGCCACCGTGTAGATTCTAAGTGCTGGGAATGGAACCAGAACCTGGGTCTTCCATAAGAGCAAAGGCACTCATAACTCCCAAGCCATGCCTGCAGTCCCTACAGTGTTCTTCTAAATGATTACAGAGACATTTTAAAGCCACTTAGACATTTCCATGTTTTCTTTCCCCTCTCCCATTTAGGACATTTGTATTTCACTGTGTTTGCTTGAAACAAGGTCTTCCTGCATAGCCTAGGCTGGCCTGGAACTTTCTTCCTGCCACAGCCTCTCCAGTGCTGGGACTGTAGATGAACACCACCTGAGCCTTAGATTTAGATTGTTATTTATTTATTTTTCAACATTTTTAATGAATTATTTATTCCTATTTTATGTGCAATGGTATTTTGCCTGCATGTGTGTCTATGTGAGGGTATTGGATCCCCTAGAATAGAATTACAGACAGTTGTGAGCTGCCATGTGGGTGCTGGGAATTGAATTTGGGTTCTCTGGAAGAGCAGACAGTGCTCTTAACCACTGAACCATCTCTCTAGGACCATAGATTTAGATTTTAAATTTAGAACTTGAAAGTAGCATTAAACATAGAGTCTATGATAGAAACTATACATGACCTGAAAGTATAACTGTATACTTGCATACAAATATAACTGCTACTGTATTCATTCATATAAATCTTGCAACAAAATGCAGTATGTTTGAGACAGATTTTTGAAGTGAAATAATTAATTTCTAGTAAGCTCCCCCAACCCCCTGACATGGGTATCTTTCAGACTTAGTATTTAAAGGATACCTGCTTTCTCCTGTCTGAAGAGTCCTCTGTGCTGTCCCTTTGTCTGCACTGAGCCTGCTGGGACGGATGAATTCTACCCCATCATGCTCTTGCTTCTGGAGGGCCTTTCTTGGGGGTAATTTCTATTGTGATAGGATTTGGGGTTCTTGTCTAGCCATGTCCCACATTTTCTTAGGATTATTGGTTGTTTAAGGGCAGAAGTCATGTAATCCCGCAAGTGTACATGCAGGGACATACTCTGCGGCACGATGCTTCCCGTGGAACAGCTGGTCAGTACCCTCTGTTGAACTTAGAATTTGTAATAACCAGCTACATTCTGCTGAGAGCATAAAAACTCTTCTTTGTAATTGTCTCGGTTCTTTAAAAACATGAGGAGGTATTTCATTTCTTTCATGGGGAGTTTAGTTGTGATCAGCCTTGACTTCTAATATTCAGTTTGGGGTCTTGTTTATTTTCTATTTCTTCTTCTCCCGTGTTTAACTTTTGCCTTGCATTCTACAGGGAAGAATAAGTATGGTTATTCCTGGTCTCCCATAGGGGATGAGGGAGGGGCTGGAGCAGTCCTCTGTGTGTTTAAGGACCTGTGCTTTGTACTTCTGTCATTAGGAAGTCATGCTTTCTTCCTTCCTCTGTGTTTTCCTGACAGGAGAATTTCAGCCGGAGCCTTCCCTTTTGGGTGACAGCAACAGCTCAGGACAAGAAAGAGACCAGTTTGCTGATGGAGCAGATGCTCTTCACCCGGGATTTATGAACTATATGAAGGCAAGATTTTTTTTTTCCCAACTCATTTTCCTCTGCTTGGCCCCTTAGAATTCAGGTTCTAAGATTTTAGTCCACCTTTCCAGTCCAACTTACTGTCTGCTCCCGAAGCCTCCAGCACATCTTCTCAAAGCTCAACTTGTCTGTGTCGGTCATTGGCAACTTGCCCCAACTATGCTTGTCTGTGGATGCTCTGTGTGTGTGTGTGTGTGTGTGTGTGTGTGTGTGTGTGTGTGTGCGCGTGCATGCGCGTGTGCAGTACATGCACACGGTTTACATTCTGCTGCCAGCTATTTTCTTTTTTTTTTTTTTTTTTTTGTATTTTGAGACAGGGTTTCTCTGTATTATTTCAGAGGCTGTCCTGGAATTGGTCTCTGTAGACCAGGCTGGCCTCGAACTCACAGAGATCCACCAGCCTCTGCCTCCCGAGTACTGGGATTAAAGGCATGCGCCACCACTGCCCGGCTACCAGCTATTTTCTTAGAGCACAAATCTGATTATTACTCTCAGATTTCTCTCACAAGGATCTCCCACATTTGACCCCTGTCTGTCAGCTCCAGGGGATAGTGAGAGTCCTGAGAACATCATGGGAAAATGATTTTGTCTTCATTTCCTCGAGAGTTTCCCTTAGGTTCAGACTATAAAGACAGAACACTTGAAAATTTGGAAGATTCAAACTCCAATTCAAATTCTGATGGAAATAAAAGTAATTAGTAAAGCATATTGTCCCCTGGATTCAGAGTTCCAGGATGCCAAGGACTCTGGAAATGACTGCTGTAGAGGGTGGATCCTGTGGGCAGATATTCAAGGAGTAAGCATGTGTTAACTTGGATTTCTCTTTTGTAGCCTTATACCTAAGGACCAATGAGCATGCAGTACTGCCCAGCTCTGTAGTTGTAGAATCCTTTCTTATTTCCGGAATTGGCATCTGGTGCTTTTGTTATTCTGGTCAGTTTTTATCTCTTGTAATAGTTAGATTGTATGAAACCACTATGCATATTAAATTATCTGGTACTGAGCCAGTCTGCTTAGAGAAAATACCAACGGATTTCTGAGAGCCTTTGGTTATCTTGTCAGTCAGTACAAAGCTTGGTTTTGTGTGTGTGTGTGTGTGCTTTGTTTTGACTCTGTTTCGTTTTAGAAACTCCTGGCTCAGGGTCGTCAGGCGTGCCTTAATGTGGAGATAGGTTTTGAGAAATACGTTGTTATAGAATGTCATCACTGTGCCCTTGGCAACCTCAGATCGCTACAGCATCATTAGCAACATAACCTTCCGTATGACTGCCTGTTACCGGTTTATTGGTACTGAATTCACTGTCACTGTCATGAGTACCTGAATAAAACTTATCTAACATGTCTTTTCTTATTGAGGTACCTTGTAGTTGTCTTAGAACGACTATGCAGCATCTCAGCAGAGGCCTATTTTGAACTGTGAAATCATTTAAAAAAAACACAAAAATAAGAAAATGTGCACAGAGTGGACCAATAGCAATGATTTTTCCGTTTACACCATGAGAATTAGAGTCAGAAGGCAGAGAGCTCTTTATCCCGCCTCACCTGGAGCCCTGCATGTGTTTAGTGTTGTGTTTGTCAGTCACTCTGTGTGTGTGTCTGTGTGTGTGTGCGTGTGTGTGTGTGTGTCTGTCTGTCTGTCTGTATCTCTGTGTCTGTGTGTGTTACTCAGAAGTACCTCGAGCACTGCTTTGGAGACTACAGGTGAATTTTTGTTGAGTGAGCCAGTTCTTGAATGCTGCCTAATTTGCAAAAAGAAAGAAAGAAAAGAAAAGAAAGAAAGGAAGAAAGAAAGAAAGAGAGAAAGAAAGAAGCCTCAGTTAGCCAATGTCAGCCTGTTCTGTGTTCTGAAGGAAAAACTACGTGCTTTGGCAACTTTTCATTTTGAAGCTGAAAATTAAAGGAAACCGTGTCTCCACTAATTGAAACCTAGAAGAACTAGTACACGTTTCTTTGGATGTAACATCTGGAAGTCTGTTTTCATGGATTTCACTGTCATTTGCAGAGTGACACACATCGGTTTATATGTTGATTATTGAACTGTGAAAGTCCAATTGGTACAGTAAAAGTCTGAGTGTTTCTTTTGAAACTTCAGGGGAAGTCTGGTCCTAAAGACACACCAGAGCCAATGGTAATATGCCCCTGCATGCTACAGTCTGCTCTCTTTCCCTAGTAGGGAAATGTGCCCACTGCAGGGTGGCTCTCTGCCAGGGTTGGCCCCGCCAGGACATTTTCCTTGTCTGAGGAGAAGGCCCAAGGAAACACATGGAAGGCTCTCAGTGGACACAGCTCCCCAGGGTTCACTCGCACAGCAGCATCTCTGGAGAACTCTGGTGTAGGAGGCTCAGGGAAACATTTGAGTGCCCTCTGAATTTGTTCACATAAGACTATTGAATTCAGTGTAGGGCTTTTTTCTATTGTTAAATACTAGTAAGTTGAATTAAAGAAGGAACTCAAGTAAAATTTATGATTTTTTAATCCTTAATTTTCTAAGGGTTTTTTGTTGTTTTTGTTTTTCAGTTAGGGATTCTCTGTGTAACAGCTCTGGCTATCCAGGAGCTCCTCCTTCCTCTGCCTTCCTGAGCTCTGGGATTAATGGCATATCCCATCACTACCCAGCTAATTTTCTAACTTGTAATTGTGGTGTAAAATACATACAAAAATAAAATCTTTAACCTATTAAAAATTTTGAGGCAAGGTCTTGATAGGTTGCTTAGGTTGACCTTGAACTCACGATCTTTCTGCCTTATTTGACCTTCCAAATGCTGAGTTGTAAGTGTACATTCCCTCAACCCCCGCCCCAATAAATCCTCTTAGCCACAGTTCAGTGTTACAGTGCAGTCTGTGTTAAGTACATACATGTTGTTACAGTGTTCTGTTACCTCCAAAGCCCTTCGGAACTGAGATTGTGTACCCACCAAATCTGTCCCACCCTGCCTCCTGCCTCTGGCAGTCACTGTTTTATGTTCCATCTCAATGAATACTGTAAGTTCCTCCCTCACATGGGTGAATCATGCAGTGTGTATGTGTGTGTTGTGTTATTTCATCTTTGAGGTTTTCTGTATGTAGTGTAAAGAATATTCCATTATATATCCATAGCATATCAACAGTACCTGGTTTGTTTTCGCCTTTTGGCTCTTGTGAATTACAGTGCCGCGGATATGGGTTGGGACCAAAGTTACCTCTCCATTACACATCCCATGTGCTCTGTCTGCAGGACCAGGCGGGAGACTGTGAAGAGCTATTGCGGATAGAAGAGGATGCTCATTGGCACATGGAGGGACTGTGAGTGCCTGGGCTGGGTCATGGGTCACCACTCCTCTTCAGGCACACTGGCAGTCCTGTCCTCATAGATTTTGGTCCGCTTTCCTTTGGGTAAGCCTAGAATCTTCCCAGGCATACTGATAAGAAGTTGCCAGTTTTCCTATGACTCTTGTTACAGTACTGGGCCATATAGTGTCTCTTCATTTGTGCTCTTATAAGGGAATAGCACATAGACTAGGTGACATGGAAGCTTATTTGGCTTGCAGTTACAGAGGCTCAGAAATCCAAGATCAAGGGAGTGTATCTAGTAAGAAACTGTCCCATGGGAAGAGAGAGTATGAGACAGAACTGAGCTCCTGTGGGTAAGGAGGCATCTCCAGCAATAATGGCACCCATTGCACCCTTCAGGGGCTCTAGATTCCTTCACGAAGATGCCATGGCTAACACTGCTGCCTTTGGCATTGAGTTTTCTACACATAAAGTTTGGAAGGTACATTCAAACCACTGCACAGCACAAAGTTATATTTATTTGTTGGCCTTGAGTTTTATCTGACTCGATATTGTCAATAAAAAAAGTAATAGCAAGAATGCCTTCTACTCTTCTTCCATTTTGTTTGAAGAAGCAATAGCCAGGATGAATATCAGAGCCAGTCCTTTCAACCAGATCTTCTGGTTCAAATCATTGAAAAGCATTTCTTCAATGTCCTGATTGCCAATCTACTAAGTGCCATACGTAGTACATTTTAAGTTCGGCATGCCTGGCACTGTTTTATTTCATAGGCCAAAGCTCAGTTCATATTTTCAGCAACCCTATAAGCTCTGTTGGCTGCCATATTGCAGATGATGAAATTAGGGCACAGATTGAGGATGCTCTTGTCTCCAAGACTACAGAAGGCTTACATTTGACTCCGAGGAATCTGGTACCAAATGAAAATCTATTTTTCTCTACTGTACATAAAGATTTACTTGGCAAGATGCCTGGGAGACCAGATAAGTGTCTCACCAGCAAATGAGTCTCTTCCAGGAAGTTGACTTGGTACCTGTAGTATAATGTAGATATTTAGTTCATAGGCTTTTTGCTTTCTGTGGTCTGGGATATATAGTCCTTGACCTTCCACTATACTTTGTAAGGATTGCTTTTTCCTTAAAAAGGACTGGTGCAGTTGTTAAAAATGTTCTCTACTGGTAGGAATTCATTGACCTACATTGTGTGGCAAGAACAGCCAACTGTAATCAAATTTCTGCTGCTGGGAAGTCCCTGTGTGCCATTCTGTTCTACCGGCTCCTTGTTGGGTGGAAGGCCAAGGAGCTTGGTTTACTGTAGCAGCATGCTATCACAAGGAAAGAGAACTGAAGCCAGAGAAATCTTTGGAAAACCATTTTCAGTTTCCTATCTTTTCTTAACCCTGGCTAGAAAGTCAGGATTATTCGTAGAGCTCCCTAGAAGGCCTGTCTTTACAGGAGGTAGGGCTTGCTCAGGTGTGTTGGGCCTGGTGTGTTTCTTAAGCTCCACAGTTGATTTCCCTGCATTAAAGGATCAGGGTTGGAGCCACTCCCCACACTGAGCCCCTTGTGCCATAAAAGTGATAATGCCTGGCCATGCTTGGAGCCAGCGTTGGAAGTCTCAGAACCAATATAGCTCTACTCAGGGGAGCCCTTCCAGGAAATCTTATAGAACTAAGGGAAGTGTGGAGTCCCACCATCCTTGTCCATTGCCTGCCTGGCCACGAGAGCAGGTGAGTCCTGCTATTCTAGAGTTGAACCGGACCTTCTCTGCCCAGGTTCTTCTCCCATCTCCATAGGACCCAATTTTCAGGATACTGACATGTCTTCACTACAGTATTGAGTTCATCGAAATCATTTTTAGGAGGTTGGTGGAGTTTTGCCAGGAGGTGCTTAGGATGTTTTGGTAGTTATTCTGCATTCATACTTGGTTTTGTGTTACAGACTAGAGTCATCCAAAGATCAGGATTTGGATATAGCAATGATTGAGCAGCTGAGAGAAGCAGAAGGTTTGCTTCAGGATCCCAACGGGTATGCATGTCTATTCCTGGCCCGGATTTTGTGTGTAAATGAAGCGTACTAAGTTACTGAGCACATTACTTCACTCTAAAATATTTATACCCAATTTGGTCTTCATGAAAGCATTAACAAAGTGAAGTCATTTAATTGCCTGTTTCCCAAGATTCAAAAGTGTAGAAGAGTCAAATTTTGGTAGCAATTGAGATAAGTTTCTATCTTCTTAATTTTTAGCAATTGGTTCTTACCTCTGGTGACATTCATATAGGATGCTTAAGATCATTTACAGAAAGCGGAACTATGATAGAAGTACAAAAACATAGGCAAATTCTACTAAAAATAGAAACTTAAAACTTTTGTGTATTCCTGATAGTGCCAGACATATGATAATCAACCTATATATTTCTAAAGATTTGGGTTATAGATTCCTTTTAAAATTTGAATTGGACTTGTGTGTGTGTGTGTGTGTGTGTGTGTGTGTGTGAGAGAGAGAGAGAGAGAGAGAGAGAGAGAGAGAGAGAGAGAGAGAGAGAGAGAGAGAGAGAGAGAGAGAGTTATATAATGTAATTTCCATAGACAAAGCTCCTTTTTAGTCCAACAAATCCGATGTGGGACACTAACTACATGACCACTACAGGAATAGACCTAAATCTCCTCTCTGATCATCTGAATTGTTCAGGAGTCCTAGGAATGTGAGTGTGATGGGATCTTACACATCACTTTTAACTGGAATTTATAAACAAGGTGGTTCATGAGTCCAGGTAGAACCTTACTCAGTGTTGTCTGGCCCTGAAAGAATAATGGCATGTCTGTTTGTGTATGACTGGAAATCTTCAGCAAGTGAACAAAAGCCATCTAAGGTTTTTACAGTTACACTTACTGTGCTTATGTAAGAGAGGGAACAAGAGTGGGCACAAGGGAGTGAGCTAGCACACTCTGCAGCATGTGTATAAGGTTCATAGGACAACTCGGAGAAGTCTGTTCTCCTTCCACCATGAGGATCTCGGGATTGAACTCTGGTCAGACTTGGCTGGGAGCACCTTTCCCCGGTGAACCATTTCGGTTGCATGTGTGCATGTGTGCATACATAGAATCAGGAAGTAGCGTGACTGATGCTATCAGCAGACTTTGAGTCACCCGGAAACTGGTTTTGACCCAGCTCCAGCATCAGAATCCCATTTTTTCATCTGTAAGATGGGTCTGCAAAGTAGAGAATCCACTTGCCTCTTAGGGTTGTAAGGAAACTAACTTGGTGAAACATTCCAAAAGTCACCTTAGTAGTATGTAAGCAATGTTTAAAAATACGTGGACCTTTCAAATGACTTGTGAGAATTTACCTTAAGGAACAAAGGGACAGGAACTATTTCAGTTGGTAAGGGATGGATATTTTTAACAGCAATATTTAGGAAAAAAAAAGGAACTTTAATTATACATTATGGCCATTGATAAAATAGAATGTCATGTGGTTCATAACATTATTGTTAGTTTCCATTGATGCTGAAGTTAATACTAACTTCTAAAAAGTTTTTTTTTTTTCGAGACAGGGTTTCTCTGTAGCTTTGGAGGCTGTACTAGAACTCACTTTGTAGACCAGGCTGGCCTGGAACTCACAGAGATCCGCCTGCCTCTGCCTCCCGAGTGCTGGGATTAAAGGCGTGCGCCACCAACGCCCTTCTAAAAAGTTTAACTTAAAAAATGCATAGTTTGAGCTCAGTTATAGATACAGAATTGGGTTCCAGTTTCATAAGAGACTTAAACAAATCTGGAAGGAAATATATTTTGCTGCGGCTCCTTCAAAGCTCCCCTGTGTTCTAGACTCAGTTGATTCTCAGTGGTCAGTTCTGAGTTGGTCCTTGGTGGCCTCCATACACATGGACAGTGAGATGAGGAGGCCAGAGGATTGACCCAGGGTTGGGAAAGACCCGAGCTGCTAGTGTCCCATCCTCTGATGAAGTGACTACAATGGGAGGGCGTGGCCAGCTGAGGAATGAGTCCTAGTTTTGTGGAAGTAGCTTTGCCCTGCTGTGTGGCTTAGGACCCAGTCATAAGACAGAGTGACTGGGAGGAAAGACTGCATTTGGGCCACACTTTCCTCCTCTGTTGGAAAGTAGGTTGAGTTGGTATCCTCTAGATGAGTGGTTCCGGACGACCCTTTTGAGGGGCCTCTAAGGACTCTTCACAGGGTCACCTAAGACCACCTTCATATCAGGTATTTACATTACAATTTGTAACAGTAGCAAAATTACAGTTATGGAGTAACAATGAAAGCAATTTTATGGTTGGGGGTCATCTCAACATGAGGAATGGTATTAAAGGGTCACAGCATTAGGAAGGTTGAGGACTCCTGAGTTAGACCAACTCCTCACAACTCTGGAGTACATGAGAGAAGATGAGTTGTTGGCCATGCTCAGTGTGCAGAATGGCAGGGGTGTGCAGCACTCTAGAACATCCCAACAGATTTCCAGGTGATACCCAATTGGCATCTTTGTCAAGGGCCATGTTGAAGCTATTTTATGTGGGACACTTTCTTTTCCACTCTTTGGCTAGTTTGCATGTTTGTTCTTTATTTTTAAACAACTGAAATAAATTCGACAACCTTGATTTCTATAATAATATTCTTGTGAGCCGATGGATTTTTGATTTTTAAGTGTAGCAGTCTAAATCAGAAAGACTTTGCCATCAGAACTAGATGTCATCAGTGCTGTTGTTAATGCTTTGGCAGCTTGGTTTGTGTCTGTAAATATGTGGTGTCCTAGGTAACTTCTGTTGTATGTCACCCTTGAAAATCATGACTTTATCAGAAATCACTGTGGTATTTTGTACATAAATTGGATTTCACAGCAAATAGCTGATAGGAAACTATGTTGGAAAAGCAACATGGGTTTGGAACGCCTTTCTGTTAACCCTGAAGACAAACTTTGCTTGTCAGTTAAGTGTTTACAGTGCATTGGGCCGGTAGAGTTTATTATCGGAAGTTTAATGATTTTACTGCTGTCTGTTTCCCTCCTCTTTAGTCTGAGTGCTGACATTACAGAGAGGAGTATTTTGAGCCTGTATCCCATGGGCTCAGCAGAAGGCTTAGAATTACCTGACCCTACGTTCAAGTATGTTCACCTTTCATAATTAAGTGTATTTTCTGTTTTTACAATGATGTTTTTGTATTTTAAAGTCTGCTGTCTCTTTTTCCTTCCTGCTTTCCTACAGTGGTCAGATGCAGCTGGAGATGTCCCCAGAGTGTGAGGTAAGGACAGAGCTTGGCATTGCCTTGTGGGAGGACAGTAGTAGCATTTGTTCATGTCATGTTTTTATCCATTTCCTGCTTTAGTCTCCAGTTCTGTTGATCCATTGTCCCCCTCCTTCCCTGAAAGATGAGAGTTTCTTTGCCATGACAGACGCACTGGGCCAGGCAGTGGCCACTAAGATGGGTAGGAAGCCTGTGCTGTCTAATCAATCAGTGGCCACTAAGATGGGTAGGAAGCCCGTGCTAGATTAGAAATGGGAGGGAGGCCCCTTTGTTGCAGACATTAGAACTGAGAAAAAAGTCTGGCCAAATAAAGGACCTCAGTGACATGATCAAATGAATTGAAGATGTCTGGGAAGATTAAAAGAATATATAGGGAGTTGGAAGATAGATGGCCATGCAAGCATGAAGACCTGTGTTCAGATCCTCAGCACCTGTGTCAAAAACCAGGCATGGCATCCTATGCCTGTAATCTCAGTGGTACAAGATGGAGACAGGAGCACCTCTCGGGATCACTGGCTAGCCAGTCTAGCTGAATTGATAAAGCCCCAGGTTCAGGTAGAGCAGTGATTCTCAGCCTTCCTAATACTGTGACAGTTACACAGTATTAATTCAGTTACTCATGTTGTGGTGACTCCCAACCACAGGATTATTTTTGTTGCTACTTCATAGCTATAATTTTGCTGCTGTTATGAATTATAAGGTAAATATCTGGCATACAGGATATCTGATATGTGATCCCTGTAATGGGGGCATTCGATTCCCATAGGGGTTACAACCCACAGGTTGAGAACCACAAAGCTAGAGATTCCTACTCAAAAAATAAGGTGGGGAATGATCGAGAAAGACTCCAGATGTTGACACCTGGCTTCCACACATGTGTGCACATAGATACAAGCAAAGACACAAGAGAATATTATAATGAGAAGCTGGTGGGAATCTTTGGGGACAGGATTAGGTAGTTACATGAAAAGAAATATGAGTAGAGAAAACATTTTTGACATAAAACTAGGAATGATCCTAGAGAAAGCTTATCTCAGTTGTGGAAAGATAGGTTTGAACTAGTAGTTTGGGAGTTATAGTCTGTTTGTTTTCTATTGCTGTGACAAAACCCATGGTCAGGGTGTAGAAAAGTAAATGTCCTATTTGGGGCCCAGATGCTTAGAGTCTGTGATCATCATGGCAAGGACCATAATAGCAGGCAGGCAGGCGGGCGGGCGGGCGGGCGGGCGGGCGGGCGGGCGGGCCAGTGCTATAGCAGTAGCCAAGAGCTCACATCTCAATCCACAAGCCAGAGACAGATAGAGAAGGAGAGAGGGAGAGAGGAAGGGGCAATGGGGAGAGAGAGCGAGCACACAAGCGAGAGTACTAGCTAGGAATGGCATGGGCTTTTGAAAACTCTAAGCCTGCTTCCACTGACACAACTCCTCCAACAAGGCCACATCTCCTAATCATTGCCAAACAATTTCACCAACTGGATCAAAAACAAACGAACAAAAAACAAAACATAAAACAGCAGGACAAACTTCAGACCCTGTAATTCCATGTCTGATGTCAAAGAGCTTAGATGACTCTGCCCTTTCAACTTTGTTGACTGCAATACACTTCTCTCTCTTGAGTTGGTTCCATTCTCTGAATGAAGCGCTCTCTGGTAGACATACCATGGTTCTGGCACCTCCAATATCCTGGAGTCTCCAGTACAGTCTAGGCTTCACATTCATGGCTTCATTCAGTGGCCTGTTAGCATTTCCATGCAGGGACCTCAGAAGCTCTCTTTAACCATGTAACAGTGGTTCTCAACCTTCCTAATGCTGCAACCCATAAACAACAGTTCCTCAGGTTGTGGTGACCCCCAACCATAAAAGTACTTTGTTGCTACTTCGTAACTGTCATTTTGCTAGTTATGAATTATAAATATCTGATATGCAGGATAGCAAAGAACCACTGCTCTAGAGGAAGATTCCATTACCCCTTTAACCCTAGCTCCTTCATGACTCTAAACCAGACCACATGGCCAATGCTGCCAAATACAGCTGTCTTCCTTAGATGGAGTCTGACTCCCTCCTTGAATTGCATTTACATGAGCTTTGATTTGTTGCTTTTTTTAGGACCAGAAACATTTCTGGGGCCTTTTCCAGATGTTGCAGACTAGCTGGGTGGGGTCTTGCTCCAAGGGCGACACTCCCTTTGTTCCACTTGGCATCAAGCGTCTCCTCGTGTCTTTTAGAACAAGCCTGGGCTCCAGTGTTAAATTTCCTGGTGCTCTTCTTCTTCTCAAGCTGTTCACGTTGAATTCCTTTTTCTCCCACTTGATACTGTTCATTGTAGAGCTGCATAAGAGTTATTGTTAACAACTACACAAGTGAATAAATATGAGACTGTCTTCAGATATCCTCTGCCAAAGAAATTAGTCCCAAACTTTTCAGTTTAGCTTCAGGCAGATTCTTCTTGGGATAAGAACAGAAATCAGCCACATTCTTTGGCAAAATATCACAAGAGCGGTCTCTAGCCCAGTTGTCGATGTTGTTCTCTCAGAAATTGCCTGGGCTTGGTCTGCATAGTACCACAGCTCTTAGTACTACTGTCTTCCAAGCTCCTACTAGGATAGCCCTGCTTACATCCTTATAGCCTTCAACTGATTTCCTAGTTCAGAGTCTTCCACATTCCTTGGAAAATCAGCATGGTCTGGCGTGTCACAACAATAGCTCACTGCTGGTACCAACTTCTGGCTGCCTGTTTTATTGCTGTGACAAAAACACCATGACCAAGGCAACTTGCAAAAGAAAATGTTTAATTGGGGGCTCATGGTTACAGAGGGTCAGAGCCGATGACCATCATGGTGGGGAGCCTGACAGCAGTCGGGCATGGTGCTGGAGCAGTAGCTGAGAGCTCGCAACTCAAGGTCACAAGCGGGAGACAGAAGGAGCTAACTGGAGGGGATGGTGTGGACTTTTGAAACCACAAGCCTGCTTCCAGAGACATACCTCCTCCAATGAGGTCATACCTTCCTAAACAGTTCCATCAACTCGGGATTAAGCATTTGTATGTATGAGCCTATGGGCTTCATTCTGACTCAGACTATTACAATCTATTCCACCCCTCCTAGTGAGTGGGTTTAAGATGGCTACTTGAAATACTGAAGCTGCCTGCACATGTACTATGAAATAATAAAGCAGTTTCACACTCAACATGTCTTGTGCAAAAGAAATGAGGAAAAAGGAAGGTAATCGGAAAAACTGGGTTTGCAGAGGGTATAGTTACTTTGTTTCAGCAGGGGCTAGTGTTTACATTACATAGCTGCCCTGTCTCTGAATTGCTAACTCTGTGCAACCTAATTAACCTCTCTAAACTTTACTTTTATTTTTGGTAAATTGCAGTCTAATAATTGCTATTTACAGCTCAAAGGAGACGACTCAGGAGAAATCTCACAGCAGTGGACACATAAATGCTAGCTGTTACTCTCCTGCTGTATTATTGTTATCAGTGTGGTCTTCGGACAGAATCACGGTGCCCCCCTTTGCAAATGAACTAGGATTAAACATCCGGGGACTTTTATTTGCAGGTGGCCTTGTGCTGGTTTCTTGTGCTCTCTGTGTGAGACTGAGTTTGCTTCTCCGTAGACTTGCTTTTTAAGAGATTTTTTTAAAATGTGTATGAGTGATTTGCTCATGTGTATGCACCATATACCTGCCTGGTACCCACAGAGGTCAGAAGAGGGCGTCACATTCCCCTGGAACTGGAGTTAGAGATGATTGTAAGTTGCCACGTGCGTCCTGGAATTCTAACCTAGGTCCTTTGAAAGAAGTGCTCTTACCCTGAGCTGTCTCTTCAGCCCCTGCCTATAGACCCACTTTTTAAAAACGTTTCACATCTAGAAATACTTTTAACTTCAAAAAGATTATAAAAATAAAATACAGGCTCTATACACATTATAAAAATACTATAATCTTCCACTTAGATTTTCTAGTTATGGAATAAATATTGTTACTATGCAAATCCAAGATGTTATAAATCTTGAAACTCTTTTTAGCAGTATACCACAAGTATAAAATTCTGCATTTGACCTTCTGAGACAGGTCAAAGTTAAAACACAGGTGCACTTAAAACACAGAATAAAATCCCCCCAGACCATGTGTATAAGGCATACATGAAATGAAAACAACTGTTTGGATTAGGGTCCTGTTTCCAAGCTCCTATAATGTATTTGCAAATAGTTCAAACTCAGGACTTCTGAAGTGCAAATACTTGTAGTCGCTTGCCTTTTCCATCTTCTGCTTTGTAAGTGTGTGCTGATGAGCTTTCTCCTGACATCAGCCTTCCAGATTCCAGAGATACCAGTTGACTTAAAATAGTTCTCTGAGCATTCTTGTTCTTCAGTCTAGTGTCAGGCTTTGCATTCGGTTGCTGGGTCTCTCCGATCTCTTTATCGCCTCCTCTGCTTTTCAACATCTCTGAGAATGATGATTCTACGGTGTTGGAACTGTGGAGATTATATAGGCAGCTTCTGTTTTGGTGTTTTGAAATATGATCTCGTGTAGCTCAGGCTGTCCTAGAACCCTGATAGTTCATAAGATAACCTTGAGCTCCCAATCATCTTACTGATAACTCCCCATGTCTAAAACTATAGACATGCGCCACTATAGCCCATGCTAGGCCTTCCCTTTTGTAGAGAGGGTCTAATGTATCCCAAGCCGGCCTCAAGTCAGTGTAGCAGGTGGTTATCTTGAACTTTTGTCCATTCTGCCTTCACCTCTGGAGTGTTAGGGTTACAGGTGTGCACCACCACATCCAGCTCATGCAGTGCGGGGGATTGAACCCAGGGCCCTGTGCGTGCTAGGCCAATGCTCTACCAGCTGAGCCACATTTCCAGAGCGTAACCCTTCCGCTTTCTAGTGGAATGCTCTTCCTTCGGTGTTTGTCTGACATTTCCTCATGATCGGGGTTCTGCTGTTGTGTGGTCTTCCCAGGCCATCGGATTTACGGGGCTTGCCGCGGCCTTCTGCTCCCATTCCCCGTATTCATTCAGACACTCCGTTGTTGCCTAACCCCATCTCATCACTGCATTACGGTTATTTCACTTTTCCAGTGTGACCAATGAGCGACCTGTATAGAGGGACTTCCGCTCCCTATGACTGTCCTGCTGCATGGCTTCAGGGTGAGGAGGACACAAGACTTCTAGACACAAAGTAGCCTCACTGCAGCTCCAGGGCACAATTCCAACATGGCGACCCTATTCAAAAGCACTTACTCCTGATATGGGGGGAAAGGAGACTTTGCTGGGTGCCGGGCCATGTGTTTCACATTCCGTGTGCCTTATCAACACAGGTGCTTCTTGACTTATAATGGGTTTCTGTTCCCAGTAAACTGTTGCTAAGTTAAAAGCAGTGTTAACTTGAAAATGCATTTCAGCTACCTACCCTAGTGAGCGCTGTTGCTTTGCCTAGCCTCCTGGTAATGGGTTTAGAGTGTTCATGCTAGCTTGCAGTGAGGCAAAAGCATTTAATGTAATGGCTACTTTATAATACAATCTGAAGTAATTGATAGACCATTGTACAGAAAGCATTCAGTAAATGGCATGGGAGCATACACCAGTATCACCAGCATTCAGGAGGCGGAGCCAGGAGGATCAGGAGTTCAGTGGTGGAGTTGACTGTATATGTGAAATCCTGTCTCAAAAACAAAACAACAACAACAAAAAAAAAAAAAACCCAAAACCCAAAGGTGAAAACAAAATGGTGATGGTTGGATTGGCGCAGTTTTGCACAGGAGTAAAGCAGAAATTTTCATGGAGTCAGGACTGTCTACTGCCATCTCTTCAATAAGTATTCTCTGGGAGCTACTGTGTGTCACCACGGAAACTTCAAAGACCACAAGGGTCCTACTCTTTGCTGTATATATTCCAGATGATTGTTAAGAAATGCAGGAGTTAGCATGACCCATTCATGGATGCAGGACATGAAATTCAAGGCTGGGCCAGTTACCATGGTAATGGGTAGGCCCTGCTATTTCATCACACTGTGTTGCCCCCCCCCCCCCTTTGAATTCAGTCTTGTTACATTCCAAACTTCAGCGCGGCCCGATTGCATCATACCTTTCCTTAAAAGCTTGTCTTGGCAGAAGGCGAGAAGCCCAGCACAGTATGAGCTCATGAGCGGTGCTTCCAGGGATGTGGAAAGAGTTTGGAAAGGACAGAAGAGGATGGACATGTACTAAGTATAGACTGAGCCCAGCTCGTGATTTTGTCTGTATCTAATTTTCTTTTGGCACCTCTGCACAAAGCCAGGTGCTGACGTCTGTTAACATCCAAGCTGCAGCCACAGGTTCGCCTCCAGGGTGAACTTCCTGCTTTGGCCAGGCTGAGGCAGGCCCAGCCTACTGTCATACCTTTACACAAAAGTGCAGCCTCTCTGGCTGCAGATGGTGGTGCATACCTATAATTCTCACACCGAGGCAGAAGGATTCCAAGTGCAAGGTGAGCCTGGACTACATAGTGCGTCCCCCTCCAAAACCAAATTTACCTGTTTCCAAGATGGCCAGAGCTTCTAGGAGGTCAAAGGTTCCTGAATTCATCTCTTTTCAGCTTACAGTGCTCTTTGTTTGTTTGTTTATTTGTTTGCTTTCCATTTGTTTTTTGTTTTCCAAGACAGGGTTTCTCTGTGTAGCTTTGGCGCCTATCTTGGAATTCACTCTGTTTACCAGGCTGGCCTCCAAATCACAGAGATCCGCCTGCCTCTGCCTCCCAAGTGCTGGGATTAAAGGCGTGCGCCACGATGCCTGGTCTGGCATACAGTTCTCTTGGCTAGTATGCTGTGAGCTTACATTCCTTTGCTTCAGTGAGTAGCTGTGTTTGGCATAAGGCATTCTTGTCTTCCTCTTCAAGGCAGCGCTGGGTCCATGACAGGCAGGTTTCTGTGACTTCCAAAAGGAAGGGATGTGTCCTCCAATGCAAAAAAGAAAGTCAGGAGATGAGGGAAAAGGAAATAAGTGGTGGCTTCCTTAGGCCACTGGTCCTGCTTCTGAGGTCTCCCTTGTTACATGTCTACACCCCCTTTCACCAGACCCCCATCAGTTTGCCAGCATTGGTTGCCTACACATGCTGGGTGTGGCCTTTTTGGGGTTGAGGACTGGAGTGTGAGGCCTGTGAAGTAGCAAAATCGTTGAGTGTATAAAACATGTTGATGTTGAAAACATTCCGAGAAGAATATGGTGTGGTTTGCTGTCCCAAGTCTGTTTTCTGTATTATTCAGAAAAGGATAGTGAGTATGACAAGAGGGAGGACACTTAGTTTGTGGTCACTTTGGATGTGAACCCGGAGTAAGGGTGGCCCGGGAGGACCGAGTGTAATGTGTATCCATGCTGAGAGGTGTGAGGCAAGTCTTGTAGAGCGGTCTGCCCTCACTTGGGTGATCTTCCTTACACGGTACCGCAGAAGACTGGCCATGGGAAATTGGGTAGCATGGGCATCCATCCAGCAAGAATTCTCCTTGCAGGCTGGTACAGAAATAGGATTGAAGAGAGGAGGGTTTTGAAGGGGCAGTCGGGAAAACCGAAAGAAGTCACTTCAAGTGTAGGCGTGATACCCCTTGGTGGCAGTTCTCACGGAGACCCTTAATTGGATAGGGACATGAATGACGTCTTACTCTACATGTGTTTTCACTTGGGTTCTTGTAATATTTTTTAAACAGCACTCCTCAACAGAATGGTCATCTTAGATTTATACTTATATGGTGGCATGTCTGAAGGTGTGACTACCTGTCACTAAACTTTTTATGTATTAGTGATCACATGTAAACCATGTTCCCCTAGCACTTCTCCTTATCAGTGATTGGTTGCCATAGTAAACTGATATCAAACTGGCCAATGAAAGAGGCTTCTCAAGATTACTTGGGGTTCAAGTATGTGTGTTTACTGAAAGCTCCCAATGTGCTTCTGTATATTTTGGAACTACTGGCTTGGGCCATTTTAAAAAACCCATTGTTAAAATGGAGAAGGGAGCCAGCAAGCGGTTTGGTAACCCAGCTAGGTAAGATATGTTCACAGGTCCTTGGGAAGGGTCCCCATGCTGGGACTCTCATCTCAATCTCTGCTATCCTTCAATGCTTTTTTTTTTCTGTGATTAAAACTGGGTAGTTTTAGAGAATAGCATAACGGTCTTCTCTACTTAACGCACGAATTAATTCAGCATTTGCCAGGGTGTGCTTCTGGGGCCAGGCTGTGATGGAAGTCGGAGAGGTGCGGTCCTTGTCTCCTTTCTTACAGTCCACTGGAACTTACACATTTGTCTCTTCCTTAAGGTGCAAAATGATCTGATGATGCAGAGTAACGGGAGCCAGTATTCTCCAAATGAGGTAAGATCCCCGAAGACGAGCGGAAGCTGAGGTTTTCCGTGAAGACTGCACTGAAGTGAATAGTCTGTAACGCTAGGATGAATGAGTTAATGGAACGCCTCTGGGGTTTTTCATTAGTTGTCCCTCACTGACACAAATTCACTTGGCTCTCTGTGTAATTGAAGATTAATGAGAAATAGTTTTTGAAAACTAGGTATGGGAATGTCTTTATAGAAAAATCACTCAAATAGATGACATTTACTCCTTTTTAGCTATAATGGGTCAGCATGCAGTTTCTGTCTGCTAAGCATTAACTGTTTCATCTCTCCGTGTTAGAGAGGCTTCCTTACCTGTGCCCTTAGGGATGCCTGCACACATGCATTTAGCTATGTCAGATGAGAAGTGGTCACCAGTGTTCTGTCACTACGAAATACTTTTATAGTGAGCAAGTACAAATTTGATGCAACAACAGAAACAGTCACAGTACACAGTTTACTAAGCTGCTTGAAAACATTCTGGCTATTTCTTAAAGCATTTCCACAGATTATTTATTTATTTATTTTATGTGCATTGGTGTTTTGCCTGCGTGTGTGTTTATATGATGTTGGATCCCCTGGAACTGGAGTTACAGACACTTTTGAGCTGCCATGTGTATGCTGGGGATTGAACCCAGGTCCTCTGGAAGAGCGGCCAGTGCTCTTAACCATTGAGTCATCTCTCCAGCTCTACAAAATGATTTCTTGAGCCAATGCTTTATTACAATGCAGCAATAGCAAATTGCAGAGTGCTAGTATAATAATCCTTGACCATACAAGTACATCTGTTTCTTCATTTTCCCCTTACTGCCTTTCCTTCTCGCCCCATAGATGAGAGACAACTCCCCTTCCGTGTCTCCTACTGCAAACATCACAGCTCCTTTTGGCCTGAAGCCTCGCTCAGGTATGTTCGCCTCAGCTGATTCTTGGACTAAATGACTCGGATAGTTTCTTTGTGGCCTTTCAAGTGTCTGCCTGAGTAATATGAACATTGACACTCGAGTCAGCCGGGGTCCTGGCGTCAGCACAGCTGCAGCTTGGGGAGGTCAGATGGTTGCATGGAGCTGTTTGGTCTGTATCTCCAGGAATGGGCAGCCTGCGTCCATTCGACCACAGCAAAGAAAGGTGGCAAAGGGATCATGTGAGTAGGGGACAAACTTTCCCTTGAACTTTTTACCCACGGAAAATAAGAGGGCTCCCCTTTACCCCAAAGGTTCCTGGTGCCCTGGTGCGCTCAAGGGCAGCCTGAAGGCAGAGTCCTACCCAGGATGCCCCCTCCCCCCCCCCACCCGCTGCTTTCTGAGTAAGGTCTCTGCATTGACTCACACAAGAGGGTGAGCATTTTAAGGCTGGCGTGAGTGGTTAGGAGTCAGAGGGAGAATTTCTTACAAGAAAGTGTCTTACTCTTTGACCTACTTGGTTTTAATTTGTGTTACTATATTGAGAAAAACAGTTATACAATATGCAAAGTTACCCTCAATTTTTTTTAAAAAAAGGACTCTAGTTAGAAAAATACATTTCTTCATATATTTCCAGTTTGGGTGCTCCCTGCCTTTTTAAGGACCATCTTTGTTTTAGTTTTTTTGTTTCTTTAGTACTTGCTGTATTTACCACTGATGCTTTTAAGTGGATTCTAATAAAGGACCTGAGAACATGTATATAAGTACACCTAGTAGAAAACACAGGTGTTCTTGGCTTTTGGGGGGAAAGCATTATGACAACAGTATGAGTCACAAGTTTCTGGCTTGAAATAAAGGTACCTACGGGAAAAATAAAGATGGCTTATTTACGAAGGAAATGCTTTGTTCTTGAAGCGCATTGGTTGATGGGCAGCATGTGGCCAGGTGTGGGGGTTTCCTGGGCATTAGAACAGTGTAACAACAACAACAGAAAAAGTGGGAAAAATGCCTCTAAGAGTGATCAGCATTCCTAGATCTTTTTTTGTTTTTCAGTCCTGGGACTTAAACCCAGACCCTTGCATATGCCAGGCGAGTACTCTACCACTGAGCTGGGTCTCCAACCCTAGAGAGTAAAAGCCTAGATGAAATAGCATCAAACTCAAATTGATTGGCCTCCTTGTGTATGAAACAAGGCATATATGGCTAAGTCAGGGCTGTGCCTTGATTCCTGCAATCCCAGGTCTCTTCTGGGAGAAACGGAGGTGACCACTGTTGCATCTCCTCAGCCTCCTGTGTGGCTGCAGACCTTGTCAAGCCTTCTTGATGGTGCTGCAAAATGTAAAAAACATTCCATAGCTGAAATCAGAAGCTGGATGAGTCTTCAAGATTAATAGCCTTTTGAAAGTTGGACCCTGTAATTTAGGGATCCAGTGACTTTTAATGCATTTATAGAGTCCAGCCTCAGCTTGCCTAGTCAGAGACTCCCTTGTACCTGCACTGTGCACAGATTCTGTGAGGAGATGAAAAATATAGTGTTGCTTTAAGCTGGAGAAAACAAATAGTATTTCCTCTCCAAGTTTCCAGTTGTAGATTCCTCACCCACCCAGTGACATTACTCTCTGGATATTAAGCACAAAAATAGCTAAATAGCTAACTCAGAAGTTCTTGAGTGGTGGGTTTTTTAAAATTATTGTTTAGGGTTTTTTTGTTTTCTTGTTTGTTTGCTTCTATTAGCTATTGGGTTTATTTGTATGTTGCCTGTACTGAATATTCAAAAGTTTTACTGAGCAACAATGAAAAGTGAGTTTTAAGGCATTTCAAGGATTAAAGAAATAGTTGGTGAGGTCATTTCTTAATTAAACACCCTAAGGAACCTTATGTGAGTGTCTTTAAAAAATCTACTGTCTTGATTTTTAAAAAGCATTAAAATATACATCACTTTGGTAATCCTTTTGTGTTTAACTAGCAGGTTTTTTAATCCATTTTGAGCTTTGTCTCATGTGACCGCAGCTCTGGGTGAACTACACAGTTGTATCTTCTGGCTAGTTGATTCGAAGGGGTCTGCAAAGGGTGTCTAGTGGGCCTTTCACTTCCAGTTGCAGAAATTATGAGTGTCCTTTCCTTCTGCTGTCGTGACCCCTTAGTACTCTAGGCTGCAGGCTTGCAGAGCTGTTAAGATTAAGGATATTAACTGCATGCAAAGTATGTGACCGATGAGTACTAACGCTCGGTTTCTATCGTTCTTTTTATTCCATGCGCCATCTTTCATTCTCCTCCTATATTGTACATTTGAACTTAAACCCCATGTAATGAAATCCACTCCATTTCCATACGAACCTTATGCCACGTGTGAAATGCTGCGGCCCCTTTGGTTCCCCCTGGTCCTTGTGCAACTGTCCGCCTGGCTCTCTCGCTCTCCTGCAGACCCAGACCTCATTCTCCCTCCTATCTCCTTCAACAAACTTACGCAGGCACAAACATGGGACAACTCTAGCTACAGTGTTCCATCTGAAGGAGACAGTGACAATGGTAGGTGCTTTGTCTCTTCTTCGATGCTTTTGTGAATAATCTGGTGGCTGTGTGTGCTGCACATTGCTTTCTATATAGCTAGGGACCGTAGACACCCGCATGCTCCGCACTTAGGAAGCCTTGAAGGCAGTGGCCACACAAGTGGATGCGAATGCTGCCTAACAGTTGATGACGTGGCAGTTTACATACCTGAGGATGCTGAGTCTGGGGAGGGATCCACCGTACTCTCATGTCTGCCTATTTTGATTGGGTTTGGGTGGTTTGTCTGCTCGTCTACAAAGATTTGAGCTCACACATTTGGGTTTAGAATGTGGGTGTGGTGATACACTCATGTAATCGCAGCATAGGGGAGGCTGAGGCAGGGGAAGAGCAAGTTGGAGGCCACATGAGTCTATATAATGGAGCCCTGCCTCAAAAAATAAGGTTGGTCTTTTATTATCTGTGTTTACTATGTGGGGTTTTAAGGCAGTTTAAAGGTACCGTGGCTAATCCTAGAGTTTGCACTGAAAATAATGTTGACATTGAGAAGTTTCTAAAAATGAAGAGAAATTACTTTTCCCCACATTTTCAAAGTTTTTATGCATTTGACTTTCACACTTTTTTTTTCTGGTATGAGTTCACGCATTAAAGGGTACTGAGATAGTCTGAAAATAATATGTATACATTTTTAAAAATTGGGGGCACCCAGTGAATCTTAATATGGACATCCTAATTTTGTCTCATTAGACAGCTCAAGTAGTTCAAGATAAAAATAAAATGATTTAGAACTATATGCCACATATATCCAAATCTCTGTTCTGGTTTAATGTTGGTTGTGAATATTTTACCTCAGACTACGAAGTGATAGAAGAAATATTAAGTGAGACACAGACGTGAGATGTGAGGCTTGGCCAGCACACAGCAGTGCATATGTTTGGGGTGCGAAGTGTGCTGTCTATAGTATCTACAATGCTTAGAAGGTAGTTACAATACTTGCTGTGATCTCTGCTTAAAATTCAGCCAAATTTCCTCCTTCCTACAGAATGATGCATATTCTGACTGACTGACTCTACAAGGAGTACTAGTATTCCGCAGTTGTCTAAATCAGTGGTTCTCAACCTCCCTAATGCTGCGACCCTTTTAAAACAGTTCCTCATGTTGTGGTGTCCCCCAACCATCGTTGCTACTTCCTAATTGTAACTTTGCTACTGTTACGAATTGTAATGTAAACGTTAGATTTTTCTGGTAGTCTTAGGCAACACCTATAAAAAGGTTGTTCGACCCCTAAAGGGGTTGTGATCCACAGGTTGAGAACTAGTGATCTGATATTTTCCACTGAAAGTAAGCCCAGTTTAAAACAAACAAACAAACATGAAACAAAATGCCCCCTTTTGTATCACCCTATTTTAAATTCTGGAAGCTGAGGATGGTTCGACAGAAACTTCCTTGATAAAGCTGTTCTTTTATTTAAAAATAGATGAAGTGGAGTTTCTGCTTTTCTCAGAACCTGGTGGTTCATGGGTGTGATGTTGCTTACCAGAAATAAACCTAGTATGAAACATTTATGTGTAAATTGCTATTTCCTTGGGAATGATGTCTGAAGTCGGAGGACTTTTTCTAAAACCTGGGAAAGATGTAAAACTTTTAAACAGCAGAATTCCTGTGCTGGTATGTGAACCGACCATAACAGAATGCTCAGGTGCTGTGTGGATGTCTCTGTGAGATACGGATCAGGGAGCCTGCATTCCTAGCCCAGCTCTAAACTGTCTCCTGTCAGACAATTCTACATTCACTGTCCAAGCGAGGACCTGGCATGCAAGGCACTAGGCCAGGCCTTCTTTTTATTAGAAATTCTGAGGCGTCCACATCCAATATCACTATGAACATCTAAAAATAAAACAGTCCTATATTTATTACATGACCTTTTTTTCCCCTGTGTATAACAATCCCAGGATTTACCACATAATACCCCAGCAATAATAAAAGGACTGTTTTCAATATTCCTCTGGACTAGGCAACATTGTCAGATGTTTTTGGTGGTTTTCATTTTTTTTTTCATTTTTCTTTCATTTGTCCGAAGTGTGACACACATCTTCATCCCCTGTGTATGAGACTTTGCCTGGTGACTGCAGTATGTTTTCTAGCTCGGTTGAAGAAGCTGTGCAGGAGAAGAGCTGAGGCTCATGGCAAACATGCTTTCCATGTTCTCGATGCTTCCACAGAACCAGACTGTTCTACTCTAGGCCTTCTTGACATGGCCAACAATGCTTATTTTTACATTTATATTGTTTCCCTGGTTTATTCTTTGTCTGACACCTGTGGCTGTCCAACCTTGAGAATGGTAACCTAGACTACCATACCATAACTTTTAGTTACTAACTCTGGCAGACTTGGAATATTCATCCCTTTATCACCTCACTTTGCACACAGAATCTTCTCCTTTCGTTTAAATCCCTCCCAACATTCTGTTCCAAATTGAGCTCATTTTAAGTTCACCATTTTCTTTGTAACATATTCTTTAAAGAGATTTTTTTTATGGCAGATCTGCTGGACAGACGTTAAGTGTCTGGAGACCCGCAGTTTCTGAAGTCAGTCTCCCCACAGGGACGGATGGCATGGAAGTCCATCTGTACCTCTGCCTGCCTCTGCCACAGGCTGGGGTGACTTTTCTTCCGTCTGGTCATTACTGAGAACTCACCTCTCCTGTCCTAGCTCTTATGCCTTCTTTTGTGACCTAGTCTTCCCTTTCCCCACTTACTTTGCAGTGAAAAACACGTCCTGGCCTCTTCTGAGGTGTTTCTGCCTTCTCCTTTGAGGTGAACTCATGGGTACTAATTTACACTTATTTAAAATTGATGTTAATATAAGAATGAGTGAATAGACATCCATCTCTGGCCAGTTTACAGACAACTTGTTTCTTTTGTGATGACAGTGTAGCACTAAGGTCTTATTCTCCACGTTACAAAAATAGGGACTCTGAGGCTATGTGAGGTGCCTCGATGACTTTTCAGGTTAGAATGTCTGGCCCCCAGGTTCAATTGGGTGACCATTGGCATTGAGTCTAAGCATTTACTTGTATGTGTTTATCTTTTTATATGGTACATGGTAAACATAAGATTGACAATATCCAAGCTAAGCAAACTGTCCAAGATAATAGAGAGGAAATATGAGCATTTGAAGGGCAGTAAATGCACCTGATTCACTTGGAGCACCAGGAGGAAATGAAGGTGTTTGTTTGCCGATTTCTAACTCCCAAGAACCTGAATCTAAAGCCCATAACTGTCTACAGTCATTGCATTTCTGCCCTTGAATTGAACCTATTAAAAGGTACTCTAGTTCACAGTCTTAACCTCCAAGAAAGAGGAAGATAAATTTCAAAGCTTCATGTTTTCATGGAGATGAACTTCCCTTTCATTCAGTTTAGTTTAGGTAAAGGAGTATGTTGGTAAACTAGTAATTTTCATGCAAAGTGTGTGTTTTGTTTTGTATCAGTGAAGTGGCAAAGCTCCCTCAGTGCATGCTTTAGAACTCTGAGCTTTCTTTCCTTAACTGAAAGGTAACAGCTGGAGGAAGGTTTTGCTTTGTGCAGTTGTATAATTCCTTCCTGTGCTCAGCACGCCTTTGACACACCTGCAGCCCTGAAAGACACAGACAGAGTCTCTGCTGTTGTGTAACTTTTATTTTAGAGGCTAATGGATTCAGACTTGGGAAGTCATTTGGGGTCTTTCTGTGAGAGGAGACGTTGAGAAACCAGTCATCAGGAAGGAAATTTCTGCAAAGATCATTTTCGGATGCATCATCCATCCTTCCTGAGAGATTTGAAACACACATTTCCTGTATTCATTGACAAACCTGTCTCAGCACACTCCTTTGTGGGATGCAGTAGAGCATGCCATGGGCTCTTGCAGAGTCATGTGTATAACACAGTAATACAGAGTGAGGAGTGCCAAGAGATACACACAGATAAACATCTGTGGATGTTCATGGGAGGTAGAGACTATGGGGTAAGGTGAAGAGGTCAGTGACTGAAGCATAGAAAGTATGGAAAGATCACTGGAATCCTCTGTCTGTCTGTCTGTCTGTCTGTCTGTCTGTCTGTCTGTCTGTCTGTCTGTCTATATCACCATCCCCAGAGGCCTGTGTTTAGAAATTTGTCTCCTGCTAAGTGTGCTAAGTGAACTATAATCAGCAAGCCTTGTGGTCTGTCGTAACTGTTAATGATTTGTTCCCTAATAATTCAGCAGCGAAGAGCTCGTTTTCCCTGTATCTCAACCATCTGCCCCTCTCCCTGTACTCAAGTGTGTACACGTGGGGGCGCATGCGTGCACACTCGCTCACGGAACTCACTTTCCCCTCTTAATTTTAATTTGTGTTTAAACGGGATGGCATTGAAAAGCGGGTGCTAACAATTTTAATATTTTTACCTAGCTTCAAGTTACCCTTTTAGTTCCCAGAATTGAGTAGGGGGCTCTTGAAATGGTGTGGTAGAGAATTAACACAAGACAGGATAAATCCTCCATGGGCCAGTTTCCTGAAGACTGGCTTCAGAAAAAATAAGCCGGCAGGCTTATTAGCTGAGAGGGTTTCTTTAAAATTCTTAAATAGTTCACAGTAGTTACAAGCAATTTAGTGTGTACTACATATACTCCTCCTTTCCAATAGCTGTATATACATTTGAAGCATTTGCTTAAAACTGTAAATGGCAGTTGAAACCCCTGTAATGCCTTTTGACTGCCTGGCATTCACAGAACCAACACCCCAGTGTGCAGGCTTTGTTTTTAAGAGGCACAGGAATTGAAAACAAGCAGGCATGTCAGGAAATGAAAACGCAGACCTCATTGCACTACCCTGATATCCCTCGCAGGGCCCTGCCAACACAGACGCTTGCATTGTGTGCACTTAAACCCGAGTTCATAGTTCGTTCAACTTCCTCATCTTTTCATATTTGGATTGGAATCATCCAGTAAAGACATATTGAAAATATCAAGCAGGTCATATTAGATAAGATTTCCCCAGGAATAATTGCTAAAAGGAAATGGCCTCCAAAGCAAACAGTAGGCCTATTGGAGTGGGGTCAAGGCACCTCTTGGTGACTAGTGGATGCATTACCAAGCTCCGTCCACATTCCTTGACTTTTTTTGGTAAATTCAGTAGCATCTTTGCGAGATGAGGTTGCTTTCAGGTTTTACACTGCATTTCTCTTCCTATTACTGTGCCTCTATCTCTTCTCATTTGTCAGCTTGCCCTCACTTTCTTTTTCAACTCTCCCCCACCAGCTGGATCACATTATCTTTCTTTTGCTAGCTTTGGTCTTTGAACTAGTCTTGCCTCAGAGACTCCTGTGACATGCTTCTTTACCAGTGACTCCTTGGTTGGCTTCCCTCATAAATCCAGGGCGCACACTCTTCTGTCATTCCGGAAAGCCTTGTGCGCACTAGGTCAGCCTCATTCTCCAAGAACCGAGTCAAAGACTGTGCCAAGCTTCTCATCTGCCCCAGCATCTCAGCGCTGGTTCTGGCATCTTGGAACTCATGTAAAAAGACAACTGCAGGATTCAGATGGGTTCAGTCTCACAGCAGTAAATATTTAAGTACACGAAGAACACACTGTTTATTTTTCTCTAAGTGTTGTATTTGCAAGCCATAGTTAACTTTTTAAAGTGTGGTAAGCTGAGCTCGTTTCTAAAGTGACCTTGTAGGAAATGACAGAATGGACGTCTTAGACTCCTTAGACTCATTCAGTGCTGTTTAAATGACAGTGACTGGAACGATTGCAGTTGTGGTGTCCGTGCCACTTACTAGGTGGTGGCAATTTCTGACATGTGAATTCTCTACACAAACTGTCCGTAATGACTCAGCACTGCCACCACCTCCCAGCCAAATCTAAAAATCTGCACAGAGAGAACCAGACAATCCCATCCCCAACAGCTTTTGTGTCTCCAGGCTAAAAAAAAATCTCTGATAAGAAAAATGTAAGATTCCTGCTACAACCCCGCCCCCCTTTTTGAGGCAGGGCCTCACTGTCTAGCTCTGGCTGGTATAATGACTCACTTGTAGACCAAGCTGGTGATTAACAGAGATCCATTTGCCTCTGCCTTCCAAGTGCTGGGATAAAAGGTGTGTACACTATTCCCAACTGCTAAAATCATTCTTTACATGTGGAATATTTTTATAAGGCTGCAAATCCACTTTCATTTATTTACTTTTCATTAGCTTAAATCTGTAAGAGATGCAGCATCACACAAATCTCTATCCTTTTGCAATATGTTGCTTTGGAATTTGGCATGAACCGGGTCACTGTGTCCATGGGTCAGAGTTATCTTTCAAAACCAGATTATTCTGGTTTTGTTCAGCTTGCTTCTGGGAGTCACTGGGCTGTTTTTTGCTCTATATACCTAAACATCTCAGTTTCATCTCTGGCATATACACCTTCACTTCCAAGAAGAGTTGTGCTCTCATTGGCTACTGAGATGTCCTTGTAGCCAGCAAAAATTGCCTTGCAAACACTTCCTAGTATACTTGGTTTTTTAGGAGCTCTGTTCCCAGCTTTCCTCGACAGGTGCAAAGATGCCTGTGTTTTAATCATCCCGACTGATGTTGTCACCTAGAAGTTTATTGCATGTGATATTTTGAGTTTTTTTCCCATCGTCTGTTTGTTCTGTTCTCTTCTATACAGTGCTGGGAACTGAACCCAGGACTTCATATATACTGGGCAAGTGCTCTACTGTTTGTCTACAATTCAGTCCAAGAGAGTATATATTTTTCTTTTTTAACTTTTAAAAAAGATTTATTTATTTTTATTTTATGCGTTTTGTCTTACATGCATGTCTGTTTACCATGTGCATATCTGATGCCCTCAGAGGCCACAAGACAGTGTCAGATCCTCAAGAACTAGAGTTACAGATAATTGTGAGCCACCATGTGGGGGCTGGAATTGAACCTTGGTACTCTGGAAGAGCAGACAGTGCCCTTAACTGCTGAGCTGTCTTTCTGTCAAATATTTTCTGATCTATTCCAGAGGAAGTAGTGTTTTCAGCCACTCCTCTGGTAGGAAGCCTAAGGCCCCTGAGCCAGCTGTGACGAAGCCACCTGTAGTCCTTCCTGCCTATGGGACAGTAATTCGAGCACAGCTGTAAAGAGCTGACTCGTTGAGCACCAGAGTGATGGGACAAAAAGCAGAATTTTTCCATTTTATTCTCAAATATGTAGTCCCGCATGTCATCACTTAGTTCTTGATAGAGGCTTATTAAATATGAACCCAGCAAGAACAGTTTCCTACATCTGTTTGTAACATGTAAAACAATTCTAGTATCTTATTATTTGATATAGATTATTTAGGTTTAAAGAAAGATAAAGCACATGATTAGAATATCGATTAGAACAGAAGAAACAGTGGAAATGAGAGAGATTGGGGCGATGGCAAGCTCTCATCTCCACCCCTGTGAAACCCATCCCTCAATTCAGTCTGTTCAGTTAATTCAGTCACCACATAATCAACTTTGCAGTCTACACAACCTAAAATAACTCACGAGACAGTTTCCCTTTGAGCATTCACATCAGACTTTTGCTGTGAACCTGGAATTTCCTGGCTTTTGTGAGAGATAATTTGGGATGAATAAACAACTTATTTAATTGAAATAGGAATAGCCCTGTGGGGGCGATATGGATTGATTTCTCCCCCCATTTCTATTACAGTGTTTCTAAGACCACAGAGAAATTTGGAATCCATAGACCCGCAGTTTACAATTCGGAGGAAAATGGAGCAGATGAGAGAAGAAAAGGAGCTGGTGGAGCAGCTCCGAGAGGTACTGGGGGGTGGCCTGTGACCGAGTGTGGTGTTGAGAGTCACAGTTGTGTTCTCTGTGTGGGGAGAGCCTTCCTGAAATATCACACAGTGTCGTGTCCAGCTACGTAGGTCCCTGTCAGACTATTCGTTATTGAGTCACTAAACCCTGAGTCCAGTTTCTGTTTGTGCTAAAGGCCCATAATGGGATTCTGGTATACTATAACAGAATGCCTGCTATTTATTTGCTTAATAGTAGTGTTTCATTAGTTTAAAGGCATTTATCTAGTATTCTGAACTTCACATTCCAAACAGGTCAGAGCTTTTAAAGCCACCCTGTAATAAGAAAGCAATTTGAATTCCTGTTGAAGGTGAAGTCTTACCTGGATGCCATCCAAGATTTTCAGCTTAATGATGGGGTGGGGGGTGCTGGGGCTGGGTGTTCGCTGTGCTGTGGAGCCTCATGGGCACTGGAAGGTCTTTCTGTCTACTTTGGAAAATGATACATTTGTATGAGAAACTAACCGTCCCATTGCCAAGGAGGAAGCTGGTGTCAGTTGTGGAAGGTAGTGTGTAAGGAAGGTACTCACATTCAAAGAGAAGTATCATGGTTAGGGCCACAGAGGGTTAGAAAAGCTTCTGGGGGAGGGCACAGATTTTATGTTGAAGCCTCTCCTTTCTCTGACAAATGTTTTTTGGCCACTGTATTAGTTGGGACCTTTAAAGGGAAAGAACTGTAGAATGAATGAATATATACACATACATAGACACACACATGTATATACATATATGTACACATGTATTTAATATATATAATTATTTTATTCAAATATATATGCACACCAATATAGTTAGAGGACTTACTAGATTGACTTGTAAATAATATAAGTAATCATAACAGTCATTGTCTCATACTGGAGAGGCTAAGGATCCAGTAATTGCTCAGTCCTGGAGGCTCGATGTCTCAACAGACTGAATCTGGAACTGGAAACCTAGAGGACCCCTACAGAGCTGCTGGAATAAAAGCAAAGCTCCCTTCTTTCACGTCCAATTATCCAAGCTACAACCAGAGCATGTCACCCACATACAGATGGGTCCTCCAGATTCAAATAATCTGACCAAGAAAACCCCTCACAGGAGGGCTCCACAGATGCAGCCAAATTGACGATCAAGATTTGCCCTCACAACCACCATTGCATGCCAGGCAGCATTTAGGTGATGGGTGCTTATGGTTTTCCCAGTAAACCCACCTGCACAAGCTAAGTGCCCTGCCCGGCCAGGCAAAGATGGTGATGTCCTTTGAGTTGAAGAATGGCGTGGACGTGAACTCTGAGGGATTTCTTCTGCCCTCATGTAGCCAGAGAGCACTAACGCACTCACAGTGAAGGCTTGTGTCCTCTACCCAGACAACTAGGGAGTGGGTGGTCTAGCGAGACAGACCTTTCAGACAGTTGGTGCTCTACCCCAGCTGAACATTGGCAATAAGCAACTGGTCTACCCACGCCCTGCTAGCAAAGGCCCGCCAGAGGCCATCCCATTAGAGTGGTTTCAGAGAAGCCAAGGCAGAAGCCAGAAATTCACCCTCACTTGTAAGGAGCCAGGGGAGACCTGTGTAGAGCCTGGATCCTTCCTCTGGTTCCTACCCAGAGGAAGACTGCTATTATCCTGTCCCCTTTCTGCGGCCAAGTGGAAAACCTAGGTCTCTACCATAGTCTCGCCATAACTTGGTAGGAGACTTTCTTTTTGTACTGGACCAGTATCCTTAAGCACAGCTATCTAAAACAGAGTTTTAAGTACATCTGGATTTCACAACCCAGTGCAAAAAATGCCTGGATTTCAATTGAAAAATCACTCCACAAATCTAGGATTGGGTGGATCATAAACTCTGTGAGAAAACAGCCCACAAATGACAACTCTGATATGGCAAGGATGTTAGGATTACCTGACAAAATCTGGAGATGTTGCTTATTGGCAGAGTGGTGGGGTCAAATTCACTTGTTTACCATGGAAGACCCCGCTTTGATCCCCAGAACTGTAAGGGCAAATTGAATGCCTGGAATTGTGCAACAAATTTTCAAGGAGTTAAAGGTCATCCTCGGCTACACGGAGAGATTGATGCCAGCCCGGGCTACATGTGCCTCTGTCTCAGAAACAACCTAAAAAAAGGATTTCATTATTTGCGCAGTTTTAATTAGAGCATTTCATCACAACTGAATCAATCTGTCTTTATACAATGTTGAAAATATTTAACACAAGTGTTTTCCAAACATTCTGTGCCTGGTGTGTGTGTGTGTGTGTGTGTGTGTGTGTGTGTGTGTGTGTCTGGGGTGTGTGTGTGTGTCTGGTGTGTGTGTGCGCACATATGTGTGGGGCTGTGTCTGGGGTGTGTGTGTGTGTGTGTTTGTGTGTTTGTGTGTGTGTGTGTGCATGCACATATGTGTGGCGGCCAGGAGATGACCTCAGGTGCTCCTCGAGTTCCACCTACTTTTGGTTTTGAGTCAGGGTCTCTCTTAGCTTGGATCCTGCTCACTAGGCTGACTGTCTAGCAAGCCTCAGGGGCCCTCCTGACTTCACCTCCCTGGTGCTAGAATTGCAGGTACTCACTACCATGCCAGACTCTTTGGGCTCTGCTGTAAAGCTTGGGTCCTTGCAGATATTTCACTGACAGAGCCACCTCCCTACCTCCAGACAATCTTACCCCTGCCCCCTCATTGAGAGCAGTGCTCTAATTCAGACATACAGCTGTGTTTAACACTTCACTTGCTTTGGTACCTATAGCAATGGACTCTTTCTGCTTCCCGCCCCCAGAGCATTGAAATGAGGTTGAAAGTGACCCTGCATGAAGACCTAGGAGCTGCACTCATGGATGGCGTCGTGCTCTGCCACTTGGCCAACCACATCCGCCCTCGGTCTGTCGCCAGCATCCATGTCCCCTCGCCTGCAGTTGTAAGTAATGCCAGATAGAGGAAAACTGGCATACAGCAGACCCTCTTTGCATGGAGTTGTTGGTTGAAGATGCTATTGGGGTCTCCAGGAGTCTGCCTAGCTCCATTCCATTGGGTCCCATACAACTAGAAGAACAGAGTGAAGCTTGTATTCTGAGGAAACAGCACTGCCACTAAGGGGAGGCTATTAAAAACACATATGGGAAAGACAGAAAACAACTGTCTCAGGCATGGAGTTTAAAGATGTTACTGATCCATATGCTGTCTTAAAGGCCATGGAGCACATGGATATGCCGGTTTAAAGGCCATAAAGCACAGAGATTTGTTCCTCACAAAGGGGCATTTTAAACAGCGAGGTGTCTCTTCAGAAGGCTGTCTGGTTGAAGGCTTTTCCTAAGTGGACCCTCATGCTTTTTCTTAGTAGGACTCTACTAGATACTCACCAGATAGCCCAGGCCGAGCCCTCCTGTCTCAGCCTCCCCAGGGCTCGAGTTACTGGTTGGGATCTCTTCTCTCCACTCATCATTGAGGATTTTGCAGTAGCATCCTGAATACCTGACCAATCCAGGCACCACTCAGCTGGTGTTTCTCCTCCCTTCCCATCTTCTTTCCTCTCTTCCCTCTGCCAGGGATCAAACCTGTGGCCTCTGCCTGCTAAGCAAGTGCTTTCCCACTGAGCTATATCCTAGCCCAGACCCCTGTCCTAGGTGTCACAGAGCCTAGGGCAGGTGAAAGAAAGCTGCAGGGGCAGTTTTTGATCCTGCCTGCAAGAGGGGAGGATTAGAGATACGCTTGTCTTTGCAGGCCTCATAGGGTTATACAAATAAGCGCAGAAAGAGTTCATGTCAACAGGTTTGGTGCATCAGGAAAGTTGAGGGAGCTTAGGGGACTAAGATGCAAGACTGGATTAAGATTCCAGATCTGTGTCTAACAGCTTTGGGCAAGTTGCATCCTGTCTTTAGCTTGATACACCCTTCTCTGAAATAGAAGATGATATGAGGTAGTAGAGAGACAAGCCACATAAATGAGCCACTGCTAACATCCATGTTTATATATAGCAGCGCCACTAATGGTAAGGTACAATTTCGACCATGTAATCAGTGTGTCAGGTGACCACTTGTGTGAAACCCCTGCCCTCCTCCTTCAGGAAGCTCTCACTAGGGTATTCTTTATCCTACTGTGTTTTCTCCTGGTAGCAGAAGGATTAGCTGATGGTCTCATTTCAACTGTCACTTTCTTGTCTATCATATTGACTCTGCTTTTTCCTTCCAAAGGCGTGGCCACTTTTTTTTCTTTTTGGCCTCAGAAACATGCTGGGTGGGGGCATTGTAACTTCTCTTTGAAATCTGCCTCTATCATCCTGAGTGTAGGACAGTGAATTCTGTCCTTCAGTGTGGTGCAGAGGTCTCCAGTGTCTTCTTGTTGCTGTTACCAAGAGTCATGTTTATTTTTGAGCCCTGTGTGCGGATGTGTGCACATGAGCACAGGAGGCCAGAAAAGCGGGGCATTGGATCCCCTGGAGCTGGAGTTGCAGGTCTTATGTGGGTGCTAGGAACTGAACTTGGGGCCTCTGGTAGCCACTAAGCCAATTCTCCATGACATTTCAGCTTGGTAGAGAGAGAGGTAAGAGCTTGGCTGCTTTGCTTCTCTGATCTTCAGCTTGAGCCCCAGTATCTGTCCCTGGGTCTTTTGTTATTCCTGTTACAGGACTTTGGACCCATAGGACCTTAGGAGGCCAGGCTTCTGCCGCCTTGTCTCCTCCAGAACCTGTTCTTCTCTATCCCTGCATTCTCTATCCCTCTGTTCCTCCTGTCTGTGTCACTGGGCACAGCTGTCCTGTGTCTTTATGTGACGCTTGTGAGAGAGAGGACTTCCTCTTCCACCATGAGGGATGGCATTTGTTTACCTTCTTGGCTAAATTGTTTCAGCCCCACTTCTTGCGTTCTTTTTTAAGGAAATTAATAGTGGAATATTAAACAAATTAGTAAAAAGTGTTTAAAATTTACCATCAATTTTTTTTTCCTGTATGCATCCAACGAACCTGTTACCCATCCATACTTTCCCGGTCATGGAATTGAAGCAGTGCACAGCTTTGGGTGGAATCTACTGTTTCTAGTGTTGTTTACCTCTTTGTCTCTTTCTAATTCAACTTCTTTTTTATGGTAAGGAGACAGTTAGCCTCAAGGATTTTTAACCCTTTGTCTGGAACTACATTCTTTGTTGGAGAAAGGTGGATGTTTGTGGTATATTTCTAGGTGAACCAAAATGGATTATCCCATAGAACTCTGTGTGTGTGTTTGTGTGTGTGTGTATTATCCAGCTGTATAGTCCCATAGAACTCTGTGTGTGTGTGTATGTGCAGAAAACCTAGCATGTGCATGCGTGTATGTTAGCATAGCAACATTACATACTTGTGTCTATTTAAACATCTCTCTAACTAACATGCTCATTTAAATGTCTGTGTATGCACACAGTCCAAGAATATGACCCACAATATTAAGTTTTTTTCATCTCTAGATGGTTGTTTCTTTATAACTTTTATCTTAACACTATGTTGTTTCTGTGTGTTTACATTTCTAGCCAAAACTCAGCATGGCCAAGTGCAGGAGGAATGTGGAAAACTTCTTGGAAGCGTGCAGAAAACTTGGCGTGCCCGAGGTAACACCAGACTTAGTTCAAATGTCCATGTTTTGATAAAAAGTAGCTTCTTGAACCATTGAGTAGACATCTTGTTTTTGCTTCACATCTTTTTTCTTTTTTCTTTTTTTAATTTCAAGCAATCTTGAATAAGTGACATACACTTTGGACTGAAATTGCTCTGTGGCGATGAAATTAAAGTGGTTTTACAAGTATGTTCACTTCTAAGGAAAAGGGGCAATTATTTGTTTTGAAATGTAAAATTCAGAATTTGAAAGAAAAAGAGCTAATATCAATGAATTGATAAGAATCAATAAATTCTCTAAGTAGAAATTGCTTAGTGTCTCAGGACCAGATCCATAGAGGAACTAAGAGCAGCAGGTTGGAACAGGTGGGTTCCTTAGCCTTGGCTGTTTGGCAGACTACCCCCCCTACCATGGTATTCTTATTGCTGATTTTCATTCCCAGTGGCTGCATTTTAAGATATGAATCAAACTAATGTTCATTAAGAATACAAGGATTGCTATTGTTATCATTGATGATAACAAGGCATGTGGCTTTGTAGATTGCTTAACTACTTACATTTTCATTTATCCTACCATCTGCTCTAGGCCCAGGTTGCAGTTCTCTGTAGCCCACCTAGTTATAAAGTTTACCTGTCCCCAGCTGCCATCCCAGGCTCAGCCCTCCAGGCATACTCAGGAAGGTGCTTGGGGCTTTTAGAGATTTCCATATTTAATTTAACATAAAATGACTTTAGGTTTCAGCCACACAAATTGAGACATTCCTCATTGTTGTGATAGACAGAGATGAACAGAAATTAGATTTCTTATGGCTTCTATGTTTTCTAATGATACAGAGATAAAGCAACTTAAAAAGAACAAGGTGTTAAAAAACAAAACTCTCATGAAAGCCCCTGCATTTGTATATCACGTTTGAAAGTATATTATCACTCTCCTCCTTGCCCCCCCCCCACTCCCTTTTCTTCTCCCTCTCATTTCAGCATAGGGGGAGGTTAGTGAAGGATTCCTGTGCTACTTGAGAAAAGGGAGACTATTATTAAAGTGTCCTCACATCAAGCTGTGTCAAGAAAAAGAAACTTACCAATTCCATTTTTGAAAAACAAAACCTAATTTGATTTGCTGGTTGAAATATCTCTGTGATCCGTTCTGCTTTCAACTCCGCTAATTCATGCCTCTGTGTCGTTTGTGTGTGTTTGAATATTCCTTAAACACTCTTGGCTTCGAATGTTTATGAAAATTCAACTTTTCTGGTAATTTGGTTCTGCCGAGGGCTAGTAAGAGTTCCTGCCATGCATTGGAACTCCCAAGCCTACTGCAGATAAGAAATTACCGCATCTGTGTTGGAAGGTCCCGTGAATTATAAAGGATCATCCTTGTCACTGTCACTTGGCTTACCGGGGAACAAAGTGAAATGTGAATGCCCTTGCTTCGTGAGAAAAGGACAGCAAATTACCATACAAACAAGCAAGACAGAACAGTTTCTCAGTATGCCCCTATCGTGGTGCCCCTAATAGTCAGCTCATAATTGCCAAGAAGGGTGAAGAAAAGTGAATGACACTTGCCAGAGTCATATGAGCCAGTTGTTTATACTTTATTATTTTATAGTTGTAAGAGATTTTCAGTGTGTGTGTGTGTGTGTGTGTGTGTGTGTGTGTGTGTGTCCTTATTTCCATTGGTTGCAAGAGTTACCTTAGGTCACTACTACCAGAAAAAAGTTGGGTAAGCATCTAAACTTCTTTGTTGAGGATGTTAAGTGAAGAAGGTACACTTGGATGAAAAACCAGAAATCCCTAATTGGAAAGTAATTAGCAGCTTTTCCTGCTTGCTCAAAACAGAACGTGTTCATCTCACAAATGCATGATGGAATGTTTCCTTCAAGATGATGTGAAGTTCATCTGTTCTATAACACTGTGTTAGTTCCTTTTTGTTATGGGATCGCCATTTGAAACTACAGTCTAAAGTCAGCACAAACAGTTTGTACAATTTGGTATGTAGGGGTAGATTCAGTTAAACAATTACATGCAAAGTCAGTGGATGGGATGGGAACAGTTTTTAAAATTGTTCTTACTTTATAGTTTATTCCCTTTTGTAGAAATCTCCACCAGTACAACCCCAGATACTTGCTCCAGAGTTGGTCAGTGTTTGTGAAATAGTTACATACAATTGAACGCTTGATCCTCAAAACCAGGCAGAGGTCTGTTGTTTATCTAGGAAGTGTGTCCGTGTCCATGTTGTAAGGCAGCATTTCAGCTCACTACATGAATAGTAGAGGGTGTGTGTGAAGCTGTCATCCATGGTTTGGTAAGCCTACTCCTTACAGTAAGTGGGTCTAGCTGACTCTTGTGCATACATGGTGTCTTTGGTAGGCTAGATTCAGAGCTGTGTTCTGTGGTACCCTGTGTGAGACTGCTGCTAGGGGTCAGATTGGCAGCTATCTCTGACCTCTGTGCAAGCATCACCCTGGCCTTGAGGCCAGTGCTTGGTGAACTCCTAAATCATTCAGGATAGAGTATCTGAGTGTGGTTAAGTCTTGGGCCCTTGAAGCCTGAACTTGCTTTGTCATGTCTGAGTCAGCTCGGTCCTCCTGTCCTCTGGTTTGCATGTAACAGGTTCATTGTTGCTAGACTTCCACATCTAGACTGCTTTAGGATATTACTAGTAGTCTGTATCAGATTGAGAGAAGTCTCATTGATGAAGAATCAAAAGTATTATACCACAGATACTTACATGGTTCGCTGGGAATGTTTCCACCCAGTTTTAAATACATAACCCTGAACTTAGAACTCTGTAGGAATAGTCTTTCTCTTAACCAAAGTACCTATTTAGATGGGGAGGGCAGGGCTTAGATCAGAAAGATACTTTGTTTCCTCACTGCCCTGCCCTTGCCCAATTACTCTCACTAGAGAGAACATAGAAGAAAGTTAAGACTCTGACCCAGGATTCAAGAACACATCAGAAAAATCATCCACCATGATCAAGTAGGCTTCATCCCAGGAATGCAGGGATGGGTTAGAAAATCTGTCAATGTAATTCACCATATAAACAAACCACATGATCATCTCACTAGATGCTGAAAAAGCCTTTGACAAAATCCAGCACCCCTTTATGATAAAGGTCTTGGAGAGACAGGGATAACAGGAACATACCTGAACATAATAAAAGCAATATACAGTAAACCAACATCTAATATCAAACTAAATGGAGAGAAACTCAACGCAATTCCTCTAAAATCAGGAACAAGACAAGGCTGTCCACTCTCTCCATATCTCTTCAATATTGTACTTGAAGTTCTAGCTAGAGCAATAAGACAGCAAAAGGATATCAAGGGGATACAAATAGGAAAAGAAGACGTCAAATGATATGATAGTTTACATAAGTGACCTGAAAAACTCTGCAAGGGAACTCCTAGAGCTGATAAACACCTTCAGCAAAGTGACAGGTACAAGGTTAACTCAAAAAAATCAGTGGCCCTATTATATATAGATGATGAAGTGACTGAGAAAGAAATCAGAGAAACATCATCCTTTACAATAGCCATAAACAGCATCAAATATCTGGGGATAATGTTAACCAAAGAAATGAAAGACCTGTATATCAAGAACTTTGAGTCTCTAAAGAAAGAAATCAAAGAGGATACCAGAAAATGGAAAGATCTCCCATGCTCTTGGATTGGTAGATCAACATAATAAAAATGGCAATCTTACCAAAAGCAGTCTACAGATTCAATGCAATCCCTATCAAAATTCCATCACAATTCTTCACAGACCTTGAAAGAACAATACTCAACTTTATATGGAAAAACAAAAGACCCAGGAGAGCCAAAACAACCCTATACAATAAAGGAACTTCAGGAGGCATCACCATCCCTGACTTCAAGCTGTATTATAGAGCTATAGTCCTGAAAACAGCTTGGTATTGGCACAAAAATAGACAGGTAGACCAATGGAATCCAATTGAAAACCCTGATTTTAACCCACACACCTATGAACACTTGATTTTTGACAAAGAAGCTAAAATTATACAATGGAAAAAAGAAAGCATCTTCAACAAATGGTGCTGGCATAACTGGATGTAACATCTAGCATGTAGAAGAATGAAGATAGATCAATGTCTATCACCATGCACAAAACTTATGTCCAAATGGATCAAAGATCTCAACATAAATCCAGCCACACTGAACCTCTTAGAAGAGAAAGTGGGAGGTACCCTTGAACGAATTGGTACAGAAGACCACTTCCTGAACCAGTAGCACAAACACTGAGATCGACAATTAGCAAATGGGGCCTCCTGAAACTAAGAAGTTTCTGTAAGGCAAAGGACACAGTCAAAAAGACAAAAAAGGCAGGCCACAGAATGGGAAAAGATACTCACTAACCCCACATCTCACAGAGGACTGATCTCCAAAATTTACAAAGAACTCAAGAAGCAAGTCTCCAAAACACCAAAGGATCCAATTAAAAAGTGGGGGCACAAAACTAAATAGAGAAATCTCAATAGGGGAGTCTAAAATGGCTGAGAGACACTTGAGAAACTGCTCAACATCCTTAGCCATCTGGGAAATGCAAATCAAAGCAACTCTGAGATACCATCTCACTCCTGTCAGAATGGCTAAAATCAAAAACACCAAAGACAATTTATGCTGGAGAGGATGTGGAGAGAAGGGAACACTCCTCCACTGCTGGTGGGAGTGCCGACTCATACAGCCACTTTGGAAATCAGTATGGAGATTCCTCAGGAAAATGGGAATCAATCTAACACAAGACCCAGCAATTCCACTCTTAGGCATATATCCAAAAGATACAAATTCACACAACAAGGACATCTGCTCTACTATGTTCATAGCAGCATTATTTGTAATAGCCAGAACCTGGAAGCAACCTAGATGCCCCTCAACTGAAGAGTGGATAGAGAAAATGTGGTACATTTACACAATGGAGTATTACTCAGCAGAAAAAAAAACAATGGAGGTAAATGGATGTCACTAGAAGAAACCATCCT